AAACATTGTGAATAACTCATAGAAATATAATATATTCTGTTTTACCACAAAAACAGCAGTTATAGCTATTATTTTGATATCTGAGCTTGTCTTCAGACCACGTGACCTCCACTGATGGCTATACTCTGTTAAAATCTCTTAAGAGATTTTAACAAAAAACCAAACTTTTTAGAAAAAAACCAGGGACTAACTTTGAATGTAAAAATGGGTTCATTAACCATTGGTTAGTATGGGAAAATTGTTGTTTACTCCAGGAAAATTCATTTTTTTGGCTGAAACAAAGAGTTCTTATCCCTTTAAGTTTTATCATTTAGTTATTTACGATAACTATTTTCCTCTATTTTAAGTTGTACCTTCAGTGTTTTTGTCCCGTTTTTCGGGCTGGATTTAATGTGTTTTTTTCTGCTGAGACGCTGAACCACCGGAACCCCGTGCTTCCCGACATTTTGCTCTCTCGTCCTGTTAGATGTTTGCTCTTTAGATGTATGTTCAATCAGTAAAATGGTAGGGTCCCTCGCATCTATGCTGTTTGATACATGGCTTTGTCTGGGGGAACGACTGCGCAGCCTTGATAAAATGATGCTTGGATCAACGTATATTGGAGAGGCTGAAATAAGGCAGGTTTCGATCTGATGCTGTAGTGTGAGAAGGGTCTGATCTCCCAACTCGATTTCCTTCCCGCCAGTCTGTTGGACGACTCTGGCCGTGATTGGTTCTTTGGTATGCTGAGCACTCAAACTATTCACCTAAATTCGAAATAGATATTTTATTTAAAATACATTTTATGGATCTAAAGATTCCCTGCTTAAAGGTATCATACCTGGGATTTCCCCCACCTGATTGAATTTTCTTTGAATAAAATTTCCTCCCACTCACCAACCATTGACCGACCCGACCCTGCACTTGTAAATATAAATAATTTAGTTTTAAATTACTGCCCACTCACCAAGACCTCTATGTCTTCATAAATATTTCATAAAGAATTACATTATTTCTAATATATGCATCTGCTTAAAAGATTTATATTATATAATTTATTGTTGTTTTATTATTTTCAATCAAGCAAACTATTCATCATCTATGCATTCACAGCCGTTTCAGTAATAATAATAATAATAATAATAATAATAATAATAATAATAATAATAATAATAATAACTTACCTGTACAATGATGTTCTGGAATTGGTCAACCTTGATAATGTGTTTGCAAATTTCAAGTGAACGAGTGACTTCGAGATCTCTGAATTTCCGTAACTGTTCAACGTGAACGTGGGGCTGAAATAAGAGTAAAATGAGTATTATTTGTAATTATGATCTGCTGTTTAATTTACTAGATTTTACTAGATTTAAAGGTGAACTTGAATAAGTTTACGTCCTTTTATATTAATGTCTGGGACAACATGAAAGGTAACCCGTAATTTTGATGGTCAAAACATTACCAAAATTTGATGGTCAAAACATTACAAAACATAAGCAAAAATAATCTAACGGTTAGCATTCTATATCATCGTTAAACAACTACTGGCATTGCATTTTTATATCAATTAAGAATACAATTAAGTTTTAATGCAGATGTTAACCCTTTTTTATCACAAAACAAACCTTTCTGATCTCCACGGCCCGTGTGTTCTGCCATTCCTTTAAGTAGAGCTTTACTAGGGGGTGGACCTACAGTGAAAAAATTACATTACTTATGACATATTTCCATTTGTTTTTTATTTTTTTATTTTTAATACATATAAATTGTAACAATATTTTATCATAAATCAAACAAGTTATCGTCTAAGTATTCACAACTATTTCAATAATAATAATAATAATTATAAAATACCTGTGCACGGATGTTCTGGAATTTGTCAACCTTGATTATATGCTTGCATATTTCAAGTGAACGAGTTACTTCCTGGTCTCTTAATTTCCGTAGCTGTTCAACATGAATGTGGGGCTGAATTGAAAAGAAAATAACTATCATTTGAACGTTTGATCAGATGTTAAATATACTATCATGTCTTCTTGAATGATTAGATGGCCTATTATATTCATGTTTGGGAGACCATAAAAGGTTATCCATGTTTTGTCGGGTCATAACAATTTTCAGCTGCCTTGTCCGTCCACCGAAAGATCTAAAGCTTTTTCATACTGTATAACCATTCAGCATGCGTGTACTGTTATTGGACTTTAAAATGTTATTATAAAAAAGAAACAATCTTTTTTCATATCAGAATACTCACCTCTCTAGCCACAACTGCCCTTTGATTCTGCCATTCATTTATGTGCAGCTTTACTAGGGAATGGACCTACAGTGAAATGATTATAGCCCTTTTACTTCTGACATATATCTATCTGTATTTTTTAACAAATATTGTCAAATAATATATGTTTATTATCAATGAAACAAACTATAAATTCTTTATCATCTAAGCGCTAAGGTCCACTTCAGTTATGAGAAAACGTACCTGCACAAGAGTATTCTGGATTTTGTTTATCTTGAAAATATTTCTGCAAATTCCATGCACACATGTAACTTTCATGTCTTTTAATTTTCTCATCCGTTCAACATGAACGTGGGGCTGAATGTTTAGAAACATGGCTCATTAGAAATATTAAGCATTTGTATAATTCCCTCATATCAAGTTATGCTGTAATTAAATAATTAGTTTCCGTAGATTAAGCAAAGAGCATTCCCCTTTCAAGTTCTATATACCATTACGCAATGCTAGAAATATCAAGTGAAATTCGCTTTGATTTGAAAAAATTACACGATATTAAATAAATATATCAATTAAGCTTTACCGGTGCAACAAATCAAAGTATATTGTTATATTGTAAGAAAAGAACACCAGCGCTGTTATTTGTCTAAATCTTACCCGCCTCAACAAGACCGCACGGTTGTTCCTGTAGCGGAGCGTCTTAGCAGCGGCTCTTTTGCGCTCGGCTGTAATCGACCAACAACACGTTAATTAAATCAATTATCAAAAACTTTGTAACTTTTATGATGAAAGTGCGATCTGGATTTACGTTACCAATGTGCACCTTCCGGATTAAAAGCAGCACTTATCAACATGTGCATTTAACTGAACTCATAAAGCGTAAATAAATACAAACAATATTCTTATCAAGATAAATAAGAGGAATATATAAGATTGATTTATAGTACATATTTTACTCTTACCGCGTTTTCTTTCATTCCTTTTGAGACAGTAAACTGAAATAAATAACACGCAGGGGATATACATGTCACCAGCAGTTCTTAGGCTGAGATTCTGACACATGGCAACGGTCAGCTCTCTGACTCTCAGAGCGAGTTTCGTTCACATAAGACCTGTACTAAACTAACTGAACATAGCACTTTAAAAAATGACAAATAATGAATGATATAATATGATATTAGGCATATTTTTAGGATTAAAGCTTTTAACATCAGTGAATGCTGACTTACCTTTCACATAGGCGACGAAGAATGCTAGCATCATTCCCAGAGCGAAACATACGAACAAAATAAGATCACTGTTGACTTTGTCCCATTGCTCTTCTAAGGACAACTCTTCAAATAAGAATATTCTTATTTTGTTATGATGATACGAGCTACTTCGCATAGTAAATTATTTCAAAATATAACTTATTCATCTTGTCCATCACTATTACCATCCATGATTCGTAAACGATATCTATGGAAATGACCTACTCTGTGATGTCACTACCTGTCATGTCAGCACATTATGACGTCAACGTTTACAACAGTGTCAATAATATGGCAAACGTCATTTTTGTTGAGAACAATGAGTATCAACAAAAGGAACGACACTGGGGTCATGACAACGACCCACTGCGAGTTAACTGTGACGTCACCGTTTCAGGATCACTTTTTTTAAAAAAGATTCTTGATGAAAACATTTGAAGCTTTGTAAGCCCTAATTTAGTTTCTTTATAATTTCTAAATCTTCAGCCAACCATAGCGGTTGTTGCAAGGAGGCCCTTATTTTACTACCAAGCGACTGTATCATATTATTGGCCGACTTTGTGTACTTATTTGAGGTAATTTTTTTAACCAATGAAACATTTTCATCTTGTGCTCTATTTTCCAAGTCCTCCCATATTTCTAAAAACTCCTTATTAAAACTTTCCATAAAATCAGCTTCTTTTTCATAATCCGAATAAACACGTTTGTAAGGGGAAACTTCTCAATTCTTTGATATTTCAGTACCTTAGATGTGACATCTTGTAGTGCAATCGATGGGTAAATGGTCAGAAATCTCAAGAGCAAAAAATGAAAGTTCCTTGATACTGAAATATAGTCTACCATGCAGGCTACAGCCATTGTCCATCAGTGCCGTACCAAATTTATTTATTGATTTGCGTTTACTTTTCCGTTGAAGATCAAAATCATCTTCACCACATGTATAACAATCGCACAGATTGGAATGTATTGGTTTTTAATCAGTGTTACAATTTGGGATAGAAGATATTCGGTAAAGTTTGCAATTATCACCGTTGTTAAACACGAAAGGCGTATGAGAATGAAAATAAAAAGCGCATATCGAATATTTGAAACACGTGTTATTGCTACAGTCGTTATGTTGTTGATAATATATTGGATTTGTATAACGTTAAATGCACGATTTGATTTAAAACATGCAGGTGAAGCTGTACTTTCAGTTGACTTTTGCTTGCCGTATTTATTTCTGTGCACTTTACTTTTTAAAGAAAATATAGTTATCAACAATTTTGACCTTAGACAAATGAGAGGGCTCTCATTATAAAGAACATTTACGATATTTTTATGAGAATATTGATTGATTACAAAGAACACGGTCACCTTTACATAATAGTGCCTGTTTAAGTATTGAGTTTACAAACAGATATGAAATGTATTAATACCTCGTATATTTCTTTCAGATGAAGCTTTGGCGTGAGGCTCGAGCCGTTCTCTGCTTCAAGATAAACACGCCCTCAAAAATCATATTTTAGATGAGTATACTTTATGTATCACAACACACGAACACAAGCTAATACAATCAGACACACACACGCCTACACACACACACACACACACACACACACAAAACAGTGACTATTATTTAATAGACAGATGTTTTTCATAGATGCTCTCCGCCCTCTTCAAAGTACCGTATGGCACTCATTCGCAACATCCCTGTCTATTAAAAAGACACCTTTTACATTTAAAATAAAATACTTGATCGTACTTTTATCCACATTATGCAAGATATATTTACAATATCCATTAGTGGTTGCATTGTAAAAACATAGTTTATCAGTTATTTTTATTGTTTGCTGTAAAAGAAATTCGTCAAAATGATCTTCAATAAATCATTACCCCTAAACGCATAATGCATATCAATTCAATGATATAAAATTCCATAGTAAGTGTCATAACTTATTTAACAACATATATTCATTTCAGATCATACTGGTAATTTGACGCCAGTCAAGCTCAATCCCAACCTTTTTTCGGTTCTAGCGGCCTGGACCCTGAATTTCGGACACACATACAAAACGTGAGTGGATTCAATTATAACTAAACCATCCTTGCACTGGTCGCAGTATCCAAAAAGCCTCTGGTAAAAGAACGGCTTCTCTCATCTATCACCCCTATTTATATAGCTATCACGTTGTAGTTTAGTGTACATTTTCACTTGTACATACCTTCTACCAGAGCCACGCATTGACTTTTCACTAGATTTTTCACAAAAATGCACATAATTAGTTTAATTTGCATCCATGGTAAAGGGTTCTGGTTCATAAGTTACAATTAAATCTTCTTCTTTACACAAGTTGACTTTTATAGCCTTTCCATTCATAAGAATTTAACAGAAAATTTTAACCATTATTTTTATATTTTAGAAGCACCATCCGAGAAAGTGCACACCATGCGCCTGCAAGAAACCTGATCAGTTGTTTGTTTATCGGGAACCTGACGCTCATTTTTTATCTTAAAACTGAATAAATTCTTTTTCTGTGGTTTGTTGTTTCAATATGAACCTATGATAGTGACAATAATGACGAAAATAGAGATCAAAATAATACCAGCGTTGGAGGAAACTTATACTAAAATGGTACCTGTTCGAGCACTTTCAAACCCAGTTTATGTATAAATAAACAGTTCATGAAATTTTTTTAATTAAAATTGTTTTAAAACTGGCTTTGTAAAAATATGCCCAATTTTTAGACCCATTGTATATTAAAATGTCTTTTAAAGGTTAAAAACCACACAAAAAATTGTTTAATGCTTTTATAAACCAGCTTTTTTCTTTTCCTATTTCATTGAACAGATCTCAATGTTCTTCCTCAGCAAATCTATCTTTGCAATAATTGCAAGTTTCCTTTTAATTCCAAATTCTGTTCTGCAGCATTATAGTTTTTAACATATCTCTGAACAAACTTAATTTTCCCTGCTATCACTTACCTATTAGGCTAATTTTAATTTTTTTTTTTTTTTAATTTATGTCAGTTTCATTTTCGACAGTTTCTGAATTTTTCATTCTCACACGCAAAAAAAAAAAAAAAAAAAAAAAAGAATTGAAATTGCTCAGAGAGCAAGTAACTTGCGAAATTGCAAAATAAGTTTTTAAACAACGAATACATTAATGAAATATGGCGGTTAAAAGATGATTTAACTTATCCTTGTCATTCTCGATGTTCTAAGCGCTGTTGAAAGAAGGAATCCCAGAATTCTAAGTGCCTTTGACTGAAAATTTCTATTATATTGCACTGCACATTAGTTAACACAGGGTCAAACACACAGAGAACACAGGACAGGCTATTTCAGAACACACTTAAATGGCGTTAATAATTAGCAGGAAATTTGAGCCGGTCAAAGGCGGTCTTGATTAATGACGGGTGTGGCAGCTTGCATATCGTTAATGTCTCTGTGGCACTCTCCTAGCTTCTACCGCAGAATTCAATGTTTAAAAGCTTCAGGATTTTTTTATCTACTAAACAGTTTGAAAAAAAAAAAAAAAAACAAAAAAAAAAAAAAAAAAAAAAACGCGAGAATAATGAATAAATAAATAAATAAATAAGGTTGATGAAAAGTTTCCAAATTCGTATTCTCTGCAAAAAGTTAACCTGAAAGTTTTATTTTTGAGTCCTACGTGAATTTGTAGTAAATAACCACACACAATTTTAATTCTTGCTATATTAAATCTTAAATCAATTTTCCACTGTATTAAAAGTTGACATCCTCTGATCTAAAAAAAATGCAATATTATCTTTTTCCAAATGTTATCCCCTTGTTGATATGTTGCCTTTACGCCCATATTTCTCAACATTTTTACTAAAGGTTGCTTAAATAGATATATTTTGGTAGTTTGTTTGCTTGCTTGTTTGATGGATAGTTTTGGCAGTCATTTGATTTTGTTTATAAGACTTCTCAGCAGATATTTGATTTTGTATTAACTTGTTTAATGTTTTGTATAACATTAAAATTTGGTACTGTTCAATGTCGCTGTTTTTTTTTATGAAAAATAAATTAAAAGAAAACATGTATTAGTTGTTTTTCATGGACTCTTCCCACATGTCACCCCTCGAACCCAATGAACTCTTCCCACCTAACACCCCTCGAATTAAATGGACTTGTCCTACCTGACACCCCTTGAACCGAATGGACTCTTCCCACCTGGCACCCCTCGAATCAAATGGACCCTTCCCACCTGACACCCCTAAAATGAAATGGACCCTTCCCACCTGACACCCCTCGAATCAAATGGACTCTTCCCACCTGACACCCCTCGAATCAAATGGACTCTTCCCACCTGACACCCCTCGAATCAAATGGACTCTTCCCACCTGACACCCCTAAAATGAAATGGACTCTTCCCACCTGACACCCCTCGAATCAAATGTACTCTACCCACCTGACACCCCTCGAACCGAATGGACTCTCCCCACCTGACACCCCCCCGAATCAAATGTACTCTCCCCACCTGACATCCCTTGAACCGAATGAGTCCTTCCCACCTGACACCCCTTAAATTAATTGGACTCATCCCATGCAGTCATATTAATCATACTGTCATTCCAATATACCAAACATATTTCTTTGAACTGTTTATTTATCATCAATTCTATTATCCATTTATCACAAAACAATACTAAAAAAACTTAACGACAGAACCAGAACGTACAAAATAATTCAACTTTTTTCAAAGGTTTATATTACGTAAAAACACGCCATATGACAAAAAACAATGTTTTTCAAAAAATTATACGAAATGTAGATTCAATTGATACCGAAAATTTCACATACACTGTTAAACCAAATTATTAAAACAAGCCACCAAATAAATCTACAGAAAACTAAGAAGACATAACGTGAAAATGTAGAACTAAAGTTTTCCATTTTCTCAAATTATGGTTTTTGAAATGAATTAAATACAGCAATGTAAATACATTAAAATATAAAAATAGCGCTCCTTAGAGGATTCTCAGAGTCAAATATTGAAACAATTTAAAAGGGTTACATCGACTTCAAACAGGGTTGGGCACATTCAGTCTTTTTCTACAGGATTCGTCAGTTTATCCGGGGATTAAAAATCTTATTCTTAAATGTTTTATAGAATAGGACGAAAAACCATCAAACTTTTGAAAGCAGAAATATTTGGAAGGGCGATCACAATACGTAGGCATAGATATTTGGGAAATTTAGTAAATTTCAACTGTTCAATGTGTGCATAGCACTTATTTGTAAAAGAATCCAAAATTGGACGGCGTTTTGAAAATTCGGCTCATACTGCGATTTCTTTTACTTCTAATCCAGTATTTCAAATCAAACTGAAAGCGTATTGTTCGTCACTCAAAAAAATGCTATTATAAAAAGAAACTGAATTCGACTAAGTGGATTACAGTAACAAATGAAACAACAGTTGATCGACTTTATTGAACAATCTTTTTTCAAGATTCGACCAGCTATTTGGTGGAAAAATGCACTCCAACGTTTAAGTTTAAACTTTAGAAATGTAAACACTTAAAAAACAAACATTATTGCATTTACTCTACTGCAATGCCACCCCCCTCCAAAGCTAAAGTGTCTAGAAATTTTTTTTTTTTATCAAATAGCTGTTCTAATCGTAATAAGTGTGCCGGCGGGCGTGGATGCGTGCCATGTTCCAAAATCCGGAGAGCGAAGGCAGGCTTCTGTCAGACGCAGTTTACATTATCTTGACAAAGGAGACGGCAGTTCTGAAAAAACAAACAAACATTAATGGCGGTACGCACCTCCAATGTAAATGATTTTACACTAAGATTTAAGGCATTAAATATGGTATTAATATAGATATTATAAGGACACATATAAGGGCAAAAAATCTAAAGAAATCGAACCAGAATTCAAGGACGAAAAAATATTTCTCAACAAATTTCAAGGAATAGAGTACACCTATTTCTCAGAAAAAAAAACAGACCAATGTTACAAAATGGAGCTCTTTGAGAAATTGCATGAAAATTTAATGAACCAATACAAATGGAGATATTAAGACTACAATTCCTTTTCAGAAAAGATTCTCTAAAACAAATTATTGGAAGTACGTTTCCGTGTTCTCATAAAATCAGGCTTGTTGAATAACACAACGCAAAAGTACACATTTCCAACAAGTACCTTAGATTTCAAATCTGACGTTGATAGTGATACAAATATCTTATTTAATTAAATAAAGCAATTAAAAGACGGCTGTAAAAGAAATGCTGCTTACATGACAAAGCTTCAACGCTGAATGAGAGTCATTACTTGCGGCTTCAACACACCATGCATCTTCCCTTTACGGAATCCTACTGTCAAGTGACCATGAAGAAGAAGCGATGACAATATGTCAGAAAAAAATTAAGTCTCTAAAGCAAATTATCGAACGTACGTTTCAGTGTTCTCGTCAAATGGGGTTAGTTGAATAGTACAACGCAAAAGAAGGCATTTCCAACACTTACTGAAGATTTCAAAGCTGATGTTGATAGTGAAACAAATACCCTACTGAATTGGACGAAGCAATTAGATCTTGGCTGTAAAGAAATGTTACTTACGTGACAAAGCTCCAACACCAAATGTTGCTAGCTTCTTCACCACACCCAACCATCCGCCTTCTCTTCACGGGATCCTACTGTCAAGTGACTATGAAGATGGGTCGCACTGCCGTGAGCGACCTATTGTTATGTAAATTACAACAGGTACAGCTCATGTTCATTCAGGAGTACTGCGCTTGAAATCGTTCTCATTAGGAAGGCGAAGCTATGTGATTTCGATAGTTTAACATAAAATGATGAATCTGTTTTTCGTGAATTCTTGATAATATAATTTTATCCATAGGTCAGAAGTATCTTGCGATCCCTCATGGCTGAATACGCAGAGACCTAACACTGAATCTTCTCAGCACTGTCAGGCGATCATTGGTTTAGATGGAGAGCACGCTCACCTGTCTATTGTCATGGTAATCGTAATGGTCTGGTTCACTTCCGAGTAAAGGGATATACAGTTGCAGTTCCCTCGACTATTCTGATAATTATATTTCCATTTAAGGTCCTTGTATATTTACGACGGATAGAACTAGCTATACGTGCAAAATTAAAATACCTAACGTAAAAGCCGCTAATACATTTCTGTAGTTTTAGTCGAAGAAGAGACGCACATGGGTCGCAGTTTAGTGTGAAGGGGGCCTTTGTCAGGCCAAAGAGACCCATAAAATAGCGCATTCTTAACGAAAATTCTAAAATTTTTCTCAGAAAAATATTGTTGATTAACAAGGTTTTACTTTGTACCAAAGTTAAAAGCAGTTGACACTAGGATAGAAATTCATAAATTTTATTCTCTGTGGTTTCCAAATTGCAATTACTACGTAAAAAGATGCACGCACAAATTACTTTCAAATATATATTTCCTTGCTAGATTTTTCCTCTTTTCTTTCTTTAAATGAGGGGAAGAGCGTCTATGGATTTCAACATGAGAAATAAAGTAACTGTGTGTATATAAATATAGCTGTGCACAAGTTACAATGCTAGAAAAGTAACAACTTGATAGTGATACAAACTTACATAATCTATGCAATATACACAGTTTAATAACAATTACACTGTGATTTTTCAAAAATAGAAGCATACTGATTTACTTCAGTTTTAAAGTGCCATGCTGTACAATATAGTTCAGTAAAATGGATCTCTCTGAAAATACTCAACAGGTTACCTAACAATACCTTTCTTTGTTCAATATATGAAAAAGTTATTGACATTCTTTCTTTAACAATCTAAATATTTTGTCTAATACTCATAACACAACTCACTACTCATATGTACATATTAAGTAAACAATATCTTATATAAACAATGTAAGTAATAAAATCCTTTATGACAATCAGTTAAAAGCACAAAAGTAATACTAAAACTGTGTAATAGTATTTTATTAATGGCAACTGTGAGTGGTAGTGAAAGTAGTGTCCCAACCTTGACCTAAGTTGAAATAGAAAGAACACAAACTGCGATAAATGTCAACGACAAGCACCATACCAAAAGAAATACAGGACATTTTAAAATGATAATTCTTTTTCAAATGCCCTTTATTAAGTGGAAATGAGTACAAAAAAGAATCCCATTGGACGAATATTTGTAATGCTTGAAAGTCTGTAAGTACTTATTTAATAATAAAATTTAATAATATCTTCTTTTAATCTTCCTCAATATCATCCACTGTCTGGTTTCAACTTATCCTTCTTTTTTTTCCTAAAAAAAAAGAAGTGATTTTTTAAATCAAATAATTTTTCATATTTAGTTTTTAACTATACATGAAAACTTGTATGTACTAAAAAGCTTTCACCATATCCGTTGAATATGTATTCCATGTATCAACTTACTGCAAGATCAAGACAGCAAAGAATTATCTACATTCTGAAACCTCCATTTGGATTTGGTAAAACTACATTAATTTCATCAATGTGCTGAATAAAAACAAGTAATATGCAGAGTGGGATGAGGAGCGGCAGTATGCAAGATTCCTTAAGTGCTGTGAATTCTTCAGGCGATAAAAAAATTATGAAATATGATAGCACTGGTTTACTAAAAAAAATTAAATGCTGTTCATTTCACCTCATTGAATGTTCCTTTTTTCTTTTATTTTTTCCATTGTGATAGATTAACATTATGATTAACAGTGTCTTAGCTGTGTCTGTGTACTGATCATCATAACTACTGGGATGCTGTTAGTATATGATAAGAAACCATACTGAGTGCTAAATCATTTTAAGATAAGATACATTCTCCAAGGTGTTGTAATGTGTTATAAAGTTGAAATACACACCTTTCAGGCCCTATTAATAACAAGGTTGTAAATTACAGTATCTCCTCTGTAGTTTTGGTCCACAGGGTCTACCTCCATTCTGGGGCTCGACAAGGACATGTTTTGACCTCTCCTGAATGCTGTCATATCCACATGTCTTGGCACATGGCGTCCAGGGTCCCCAGCCTCCCAGCACGCAGTCTACACGCTCTGTGCTCTTACGAAACTCATTACTCGACTCTGAAAATAAAACATTCAATACCTACAAGTAAATGATATTTGCAGTATTTCTCTTTCCGAATTGTCATATTCTGTGTGAATTATTCTAAACATTTAGTTGTGTTCCACAATGTTTTCAATATGTCATGTGATATCAATCTCTAAATAAATTAATTTCTTATTTCTTTACATAACTATTTTTCTCTGTACCACTTTCCGATAACTTTCAAAAAATTGACAGAATCAGGTTTTTTGTGAGCCTTTGACTGGTTTCATTAGGTGTTTGTAAGTATCTAACACCAATTTAATATTTCAACCTGTGACAAATTGTGAACTAATTATGAAGCTTACGTGTATTCTGTACAGGCTGTACTCTACTGGACTTCTCAGGATGACCAGTGTCTGTCTTATGGGTCCCTTTGCCTGAAACAAATACCAGAAGTGTTCTGTATTTACAGACCTAAGGTACTTTATTGTGTAGCACTTAACACTGCACCCTGGCACATTGATATGTAACATGTTATAAGGTCAATAAAGTCAGTTCCAACAAATGCATGAACTGGTGTGTTTATTGTCAGAAAAGTGTCAGTACAGAAATACAACAAGAAGCTGGTTATATAAACAGCTGTATTCACTTTATAAATAATAGAAAAATACTATCTACATCTACATTGCTTTACCCAAATCACTATCAAATACTTCAATTTAAATGTAAGTGAGAGTTCACATTAGACAATTTAACATGTTTCAACTTTTCAACAACTGTCAATGACCGAATAAAGTTTTGCTCTTTTTCATTAAAGATGCATACAAAGTCAATTTTTTGTCACAAAAACCAAACAAATGTCAGCATATAGTTTCAAATAGTATTATTAAGAGAATTACCAAAAGGCAATGTTTAATTTTACCCGAAAATGATGTTTGAATGGATTTTTCTGCTAGCATTCTATGCTGTATGTCAATGGGGCAGAAAAGTAGGTTAAATTTCCAATCAAAAATTTAAAGAAAGGAGCAGCCTAAAGCTCTTTTATGGCTGATCGAGTGATCTATTCAGTTTATCCCTTGGCATGACGAATTTATTCGAGTTGTATAAGAAACTAGTAGAAGTAGTTTACATGTGTTACTGGGAATCTATGCTCCAGCGATGCTCGGTTCGTATGTACCTTTAATCAACTTATAAAGATATACTATTAATACTCACTACATTTCCTATGTTTGCACTTTTTCCTCTGTCGCATCTTCTTGGGACATTTTTTCCCACCATTTTCAGGCTGAACCTTGATCATCCGATAGCGTGTCACTCGCCCGCGGCCACACGTGACCGAGCATGATGACCACTCGGTCCACTGTGTCACCATGCAGTCGATTTTATCAGGTTCTGATTTCTCATTTTCTTCGGTTGTCTGCTGCATCATTTTCCTTTTAGCCATCATGGCTGCCTGGATCTCTTCATCACTTCCTCCACCATGCTGCTGCCCCTGCATCATTTTCAGCTTTTCCATCATGGCAACTGTAACAGACAGAACTAATTATATGGCAGTGAACCAGTGACAAAGGTCAATGATGTGGAGCAAAACAAACAGCTTTCATTCAATTTATTGTTACCACTTAGTGTTTTAATAAGCTATAGTTCAATGATGTTAATATAATGTGAATCTCTTTAAATGAGCAAATAAAATACTTCAATATAATCTCAAAACTAACCTAACTCAATCTAAACTATACAAAAACTAACAGTTCTTTATGATCAGGAGCTGCTTCTTAATTTTAGCTACAAGTGAGTCACCAGTAAAAAAAAATAAATGAAACCTGAAACAAAAATAATTTCTTTGTAACGTGCAAAACATCAAGCCAGTTTAAGATGCAGCAGATCACAAATAACATTACATAAAGCAGAGACACTGGTAAGATGTTATATTATGCACACTGCAGAGACATAAAGAACCAAGGAATATTCAAACTAGAGTAGGAGCATGACAATCTTTCATACTGTTACAATAAGAAGAAAGATAGCAAAAAGCATATTATTATTATTATTATTATTATTATTATTATTATATTTTTTTTTGCATTAACTGTCCACATGCACCCTTATGCCAAAGAATTTCAAAGACTGTTTTCAGCAACTTTAAAAACTGTAATAAGCATGGCTGAAAGCAACATTTTTAACCGTTCTCCTCGTCTCCTTAGTTACCATGCTAGCTTCCCCCCTCCCCCACCCCAAAGAAAAAAAAACTCAGCAGCATATGCAGAAATTGCATAGCATTACAACTACATATTAAACCATTCTGTTGCACATTTCAAATAGCCCCAGCCTAGCACTTACTTCTGTTATGCTTTTGACTAAACAACAATCTACCTCTGACCATGCAAGTTTCATAAATCACAGTCCAACACAATGACTTTGCCATGACAGCAGCAATGATTACTATACATCATTACTATGTGTTGATGTTGTACATGTGCTGGCAAGTTTGTATGTGTGTGCATGCACGAGTATGTGTGTATAATTACATAAACAGCAACATGAGACCACTGTCCAGTCTTGATAACTGACCTTTGTCAGCCATAGCAGACACACATCTCTCCTCGCACTCCGGCTGTGAGAAGAACCTGTTATTATTCCCTCCACACCCACCAAACTTAAACGGCAGGCACTTCCCCATTGGGAAGCTGTAATACCACCTTGGGAAGTCCCCATAACAGGGCCCCACATCAGGAAGGTCCAGACACACTTCTGAAATGGGAGGCACACTCAGGGGGCTATAAGGTTGTGAAGGGGAGTGGTACCTCAGCAGTCTGGGCATGGATAGTAACGACGGACGTTACAGAAATACTTTGCATAAGCTGCACTTTACAGAAAACAATTGATTTTTTAAAAATATCTTGTAAATTAATATCCATTTATGAAGCTTTACATGATCCATATTTCTGAGGTACCACTTATGAACATGACATATAATACAAGACAATGTGCAGTAGTTTATAAAAATGCAGTATGAAAATAGTATAGAAGTGATGACAATTAGTTATACAGGATAACAAGTAAGAAGTGCAACACTTCTATAAAGACTAAAAAACATTAACATCTTTGACATATACCTTCACCGAGAGGACTTTCTTTAAGATAACGAAAACAAGACAACATGTAACATTACACTGTCACTCTGCTTTTTCCAGCATCGATGCAGTGTTAGACCTTACTTAGTAAAGGAAATTAATTTACCTGGAAATAACAATGATTTTCCCTTCATCACCAAGGTACATCCTATCCAAAACATGCAATTACAGAAGTTTTAATTTCTATTTTTNAATCTACACATATGACTTTTGGAAAGCCGTCTGTAGAAAATTTTCCCATAATTCCTTCCGTAGGGTAGATAATTGGCATTGAATTTTCAAAAATTTTGACAAGGGTGCATTTCAAGGAGCGTCACGCCCAGGTCAATGTACCGACTGAGACAAAAAAACCTGGGGGTTCAAGTTGAGGTTATATGTGACCTAAATCCAAGAGATGGGGACAGGGGTCCTTGTGGTCTAGGAGGAGAAGCGGTAACGGTGACTTGTATCCGGCGCCAGTACGCGGAGCCGGCGGAGCTTACGGAGCCGGCGGAGCCGGCGGAGCCAACGGAGCCGGCGGAGCCGGACGAGACGGGTCGGGACTAAAACCATGAGTACCGCCAGCGTACACGCTGGTGGTACTAATTATATGTGAAGCTCACCAAGCTACTTCTCCATTACTCAACAATGAGTTTATAAACTGAAACCCTGTCAATAGTTTTGGATATGGTATGCCTTGGTGTTGAAATTTCCAGGAAAAGTAACTTCTTGCTTCATAAAGGCCTGCCATGCATTACAGGTCTTTATAAGCACTTCACTGTTACCTTCAGTGGTAGGACCTCTCCTGTCAGAATCTGATGAAGTATTCTGGAGTCCAAACTGCATCATGAGTTTTTTAGCCATCAAGATTGCTGTAAATGGCAAAAGCCTTTTATAATGCTGCATTTGTCAATACCACATTTAAGGTCACTCAATTCGTGAAAACAACCATGATAATTTTTCAAGTGAAATACCGAACTTTCTAGTGAAAAATCAAATATTCTGAGAAAGATTTAAGACAGTTCATATATCTATCATAAAAAGGATTTACCATCTGAAATTTTGCTAAATAAGCTGCAATATATTCAAAATATAGCTAACAGGAAACATTTAACTGTTTCATTACCATTTGCTTGCATCACTGTCGAACATTTCTGGTTGCATTCAGCCTCTGTCTCAAAATTATTTTTGTTTCCACGGCAACCCCCATAGACAAAAGGTAGACACTTCTGCATGTCCTTATCAAAGTACCATCTCCTAAAACTCCCTTTGCATCTGCCTGCTTCGTAGGGCTTTTGACAAATGTCTGTGTGAATTGGAGAAAATTATACAATCTTTTAAGTTCTTTTTTCCAATGCAGAATGGAAAAGATCTAGACTGTTACATATACTACGATTTTGGTTAAAAGTTAAACAAAAGGTTATGTAAGTAAACATTACAACTTGCTTCAACTTATTGTTATTATTCAACTTATTATGATTTTCAACAAATATTCAAGATGATGGGGCAATGACACAATGATTTCATTTGCAAGAAGATTATGAAAATTTTAAATTCTAGATGGAGAAAGCCTTAATTACTGGATGCCTGAATTAAAATTGAAGTCAATAATTTCAATCCAAGCATTTCATTCAAAACCTTTCTATCTACCTGCATAATCCAGCATGGCCTCAGCTTTCCTACAGTCCATTATCTCAGTCATGCACATCTCACTCTCTGTCATGTCCTTGGAACATCTCCGCACCATCTCTGGCTTGAGATACATGCGTGTTCTCTCCCTGACCCCCTTACCACAGGTGACACTACAGGGAGACCATTGGGACCAATTCGTGGTAGCACACTTGTCATTTTTATTACAGATGTTCTCAAAGCCCAAGCACTCTTCCTTGTCCATCAATTCATCCTGACATTCAGCCGGAGTCACGTCCTTGAGATATTTGCGGAAGCGCACACGCATGCCAATGCCACACGTGACGCTGCATTTTGACCAGTCTTCCCATTCTGACAGTGGACACTTTTCCATCATGGCTGTAATACAATCAATTATAATGCCCAATTATACTGATTATCTCCAAATAAAGTTCTTAATAGTTTTTTTCCAATTTCAGTTCACATTTAAATTGATGTTTTGATATAGTCTATTACTTGAATAATATTGTGAGAAACGCCATTTTATTGAGTTAAATTTAGCCATCAGTTTTGTCCCATCTTTTCACAATCTTTTTTCACATGAGTTTACAATGCATTTTTAAGCAAAATGCCTTAATGCAAAAGAGTATCACACAACAAGAGTTCTTACTTTATCTATAGTACAAACAGTGGTAATATTTGGTTGATAAGGGTAAAGGATAGTGCTCTAAAGTACATCCTTCTAGAAACTGTGATGGGGGGGGAGGGAGGGGGGAATCTAAACCTAATTTGAAAGACCAGTGTCGAACAAGGTATGAAAAAATCTATTTCAAGAGATTACTAAAAGCCATAAATTCATATATATAGAAAGGTAAGGTATTTTCAGTTTCAAGTATATACTCCCAAGTATTTTCATGTGAAGTCACAACTACAACATTAAAGGACGAGTGCACCCAAGAGGACACCACACAACAGGACAATAGCCCCATCCAGACATCCTACCTGCATACCCATATCCACAGGTATATGCAGCTTGCAAGCCAAGCAACAAACATAGCAGCATATATAAACATGCACAAATAAATTCATCAAAATTGTAAGCACATCTGAACCTATTAGCATATTTTAACTATTGTAAATCATTTTTCAACATTTTAATACATATCCACTTTATGTCACTTCGAAACATAAAACATGCAACTTTAAATAATCATCTATTTCAAACCTGCTTTTACCTTTTTTCATAATCATCTGCTTCTGTTCTTCATCTGATAAAACCCTGTCTCTGTCCTTGTTCTTATTTCTTTGGTGTTTTCTGTGCTTTTTCTCCACTCTTCTATCAAGGAAGCCAATCCCTGGATCTTCATCTGCATAAGAAAGTAAAGACTAGATATATTTTATTATCTTGGCAATTAAAACATGTTAACATAAATCAAACTTTAAAATTCCAATTACTAATGCTATCCAGCTGAATGTGAAAGTTGTGTCAAAAATGTGCTTTCTGGTATAATATAAATTTACAATCAGTGATTTAACTTCAACTTTAAGCTTTAATGTGGTGAGTGTTTGGGGGCATGTCTACAAGGCAGTAAGTTAACAGTCTTAAAGATCTCAAAGTTTTCTTCTCTATAACTTAGATGTAATACAGTAATAAGATAAGTAATGTGTAGCCCTAAATATGTTGTTTTTATGTACCATGTAACTGCAAAATCTTGATCAGTGGTATAATTTAGTATTCTTATCACTTGAATTACTCTTTTGATTGCCTTGTCAAGGTAAAATTGACCTTGTGTTTGCATACATTAAAGCAGCCTTTATTGGCCAAGTATCAATCATGTTTGCCATTTATCTAAATTATATCTTGTATTCTTCCGGGGCAGATGGAAGTTGTCTTCTGGGTCTTCCAGAAGACTGTCTGGATTTTTAAGTTTACATTGACATTTTTTCTGTTGGGAGATGGTCAAAAATGTAGGATGCATTAACAAAGATAATTTGGAAGACTGTCAGAAAGTATCTCTGGATCTGTCCCTGTTATTCAGGATGGAGGATATATAAAAGTTACGTTGTATCAGAAAGGACAAAATGCTGAAGTATGAGAGTCACAGTTACATACCACCCTCATCACTGGTGCACTGTCCCGGGGCAGCTGCTGGGGTGAGGCGTTTGATGTGTAACTGTGCCAGAGGTTTGATGGGATACAGGCCATAGAAAGGAGACTTGATGTTGTCTGGGTAGGTGTTGGTCAGTCTATGGATCTTCTCTTGAGGATGAGTCTTCATGTTGGGAGACTGAAACAGGTTGTGTAGTGCATAATGCCACAGTGAAAACACTGTATTTTTGCATCTACATATTTGTATTTAAATATTTTTGTGTATTTTTAATTTTTTCAAATTGCCAGATAAAAGTAAGTCTTTCATGCACTTTGATGTTTTTTCTTAGGCCACTATGCAGTGAATCTATCATCAAGAAAGCAATATTGTAACAGTACTTCTGATATGTTATTCACGTAACCAAATTTAAGCAGAATGTTTTAAATGTTTTAAAAGCCTGACTTCTCTTACATCATTGTACAGTGACATACGAAAAATAAGGGAGCAGTGCTATCACGAAAACATCCAGCTCATGCCTCAGCTGCCATTACTTACAGCATAGGTGATCCCGCTGTCAGTGCCTGCATCCCATGGATACAAGTCAATGGTCTGGTCCCCTGCCCAGGTACAGTTAGGGAGGCACAAACTCAGACTGGGAACACCTGAAATAGTGGATTCAAGACAGGGTTTTTTATTTGTTATAGACAGACATCCAGGATTTATGGCATCAAAGGATGGTATCATAGCTTATCAAAACCTACCAGTACATTGTCAATAATAAGAAGCACTTATAAAATCATCAATGTGAACAGAAAATGTAAGCAGATGTGATCCTGCACTTAAAATACACTTTCATGACACATCAATAAAAACTTTTTTCTAAACATTTTTGGGGGTCAAGATAAATAGCATATAATAAATTCACTATTGACTGAATAAGAAGTTTGGCTACGAAAAAGAAAGTCATTTATTTTACCTAACCTCTATTCAATTTGACTGAAGATTTTGATTATTCAGGAGTCTTAAGTATGATATAAAATTTCTGAATGAAACACTGCTCATCTTTAGACAGGAATAACTGAAAGCTTCAATTATTCATGGTTGCATGTCTACTACTGCCATATATCTACAGCTCCATGCTGCAAATGAGTGAAGAAGCTCTCTCTCTCTTTCTTTTCATTTGTAAAGAACGTCATACTGGAGAAAATTACATAACATGACATTCTGTAGACTTACATATTCCATAGAGGCCAGTAATAATCAATCATGTGAGACAGATTTTGTGTGAACAAATTCACATAATAGTTCATAGTGTATAATTCTGCTCAAGCAGATTACAGTATGGTTGACTGGATTACTTTTGTCCACAACTGATTACAAAATCATATGACTATGGGAGCTTCAATCCCTGGATACAAATGTGTTATTAAGGATGAACCCTTGTTCATAATATAGATCCCACGTTACACATGACCTCCTATAACACGTCCCTCAGGATTCCAACCATAACTGAGAATAAAAGCAAGAATTTTCCATAATGTAACTAAGGACACAACTCCATACAACCCATAATTGGCAAGCCAGGCTCTATCTAACCAGCTATCAGGTTTCAGTTGTCAACAAAGAGGAAAGCAATCAATATCCCACTTCATAAAATGAAAACAAAATTACTACACAATTTGGTGTATGTGTCTTAATTGTAAACCATTCACAGCCTTACCTACACACCAGTCTGGACTGGGTCCAAACATGGTCAGTACTGACATTAAATGGTGCTTCTTACTGACACTGAAATGAGCTGAGACAGGCTTCATCAAGTTACTCATTCCCCATAATCCATGGGTACTGATCACTGTGCGGATAGCTGAACTCTGAGAAATAAAATAAAATTGATTGTAAAGCTGAAGACAGGTTTTGACACCAAAAGTGATTTATAACATAATTGATTCATTTATCTATTATTAGATTACCAACATATACTTTTCATTATATTATTTGTCCAGAATTTTATTTAAAAAATTTAATGTGGCCATACAATGTGCATGCTTTGATCAAATAAGCAAATTTGTAACAATTAAAGAATGTTGTTTTTTTTTATTGTCTGTCTTGTTCAAACAACAAATAGGGGTACATGTAGGAGATGCTGGAATAAAAGTGGCTAATATAAAGTGTCAATTTATTCTTTCACTCTAACGTATTGCATGCCATAAAAAAAACATAAGGTCACTTCCATTCACCATTAAATGCTTCTACGTCAATGTCTGCTAGCAGGAACCCAATTAAAATGCACTGGCTCTGTTCTTAAATGTCTCTAGAGCCATCAAACTGTCACTTAATCTCAGCAATCTTCTTGTAACATCAACTTACATGCTGCTTGAATTGTGTCTCTAGTTTTCCTGGTGAGCCATATTCACAGACCCATCTCACTGCTTCTGAGGCGTAATCTCCAAACTGCCAGATTTTGTAGCTGGGCCCATGGGTTGCCCCAATCAGATTAGACCAGTGGATGAGGTTGGCAATGTGACCTTTTCAAAAGAAAGGTTCAGAAGGATGACTTTTTCCATAAATTTAAATTTTGTGACAAAACCATATAACAAACCATATTCTAAAAGTGAAAATCTATCATGCATTTATTAAAGCTTTATTTTTAATGCAACAAGATCGAATAAAAAAAAAAAAGCAAATACATGTTCTTTTATATTTTCTTTTTAATTTTGGTTTTCTCCATTAAATCCTATATTCTACATGTTCATCATAAACAAATAAACACCTTTCTTCAGTATCTTAATGCTTGGTGTTTGGTATAAGCAGATACCTCTTAAATTTAGTAACAATTAAGTCAACACCTGTCTCTCTATCTGACAGGTGTTCAATCTCTTGGTTTCGCCAAGAAATTCAGACTCATTGACCATTTCACCTTGCATGACACAGACTAAAACCAAACCAGACAGGTGTGAAAGTGGTAATTACCTGTTGGAAAATCTTTTGGATGTCTCTGTCTAGTCCAGTTTCCTTGAAAGGTCATCCTGTATTTGGCCGTCCCACAGGCACAGCATTCACCATTATCAGGCCATTTCTCACTTTTAGATCTTGAAGAACCTGGATTGTATTTCAAAAATAGCCTTCAGTGAACTCTAAATTAAATTCATCCATCTCAACATGATATTTTTTCTTTTTTTCTATATCTGAAATTCTGTAAGACAACCCTTATTCATGTATAAATAGGTGAAGGGAAGTTTTCTAAAACTGGTAGTTCCACATAGTGAATATTTTCTTTCATTTCAGACTGCCTGCCAGAGAAAAGTTAGTGATAGATTTACATAGACAAAGTGTTGTGTATATACATGGCTATAAGCAAAAAGAGGGGATAATATTCTGCAAGTTGACAGAACTGCCTAGAAACCCAATATGTTTACAACCATTTAGTCTATTTCTGTTTCTGGAAAAGATTGTTTCTGTCAGCTTGATGGGTTTTGTGTACAGCAAGAATAACATGGGGAGTGTGTTAAGCTAATATGGTGGAAAACAAGCTACAAGTTCATCAAATTCCAAGGATATTAGGTAACAAAGGGCCTGGTGTTCTTGCCGGGAAGAACACAAGAATTGTGGTCAAATTCACATGTACTACAGCATGCCTCCATGTGCAAAAACAAAGGAGAGTCATTTGAGAATACAAAGAGAAAACAAAGTTATCAAAATACATGTACCTCTAAATAAACTGCAGATACAGCTCTTTAAGTTCTGTACCCATGCATGTTCATGTTGCATGTTTTTAGTTGTTTTAACTAATACTTTCAAATAAATAATTCCTTGTAACATTTTATAAAATGGCATTTTAATCAAGCAAAATGAAAAAGGCACCAATGGTCTTTGTTTCACTAATATTAGGCATAAGATTACAAAAGATGTGAACAAGGGCAATCTTTGGGCAAGACTACATCTCTCCTCAGGCCCATGGTTTGGCTTATCGGTAAGGGGGTACAATTCATACCGGATAGTCAGAGGGTTTGAATGAACTGTCCTTTTTGCCAGGTTAAGGTCCCCACTGAATCAAAAATTGATTCTAGGCTCTATGCCAACATACATGTAGATTTCACAGTAAAATGTCCACATTAAAATTTTTCAGAAAAAAATGATTTGAATAGCTGGCTATATTATCCTGCTCCTGATCCAAGCTGTAACGTTTCACAGTGAATTTTCTTCTTTACATGCTCAGCACCTCCATGGAAGGTTTTTTGGAATTTAAGCAACAAACTGACAGTGTCTAAGTCAGTGATGTTCAATTGCTGAATGCCAAAGAAGTACCAAGTAACTGCAGCTGACTTTTGTTATTTTGTTCCGGACTGTTTAAAATGCACAAGACGTTTTCTCTGTCTAGCGTACACTTTTGCCGTCCCCTTAGTCAAGATTTAGATCCCCAGAGAAATCAAATTCTAGTAGCTAAGCTTAAATTGCATTAATAACAATTTGCATGATCAATCAAAATAATTGCTATGATTAAGTTCCTTCTGATTTCAAATGACTTTTTTTCTCTCTGTTAAATATGTACACATATTACATCTCATGATTTAATGAGGAAAAAAGCTGAGCTTCATCCTATTAAGATAATTAAACAAGACAATGCTCATAATTACATAATAGCTTTGACAAGAAAAAAATATTAGTTAGTTAGTTTACAGGATTTCTAGCTGGACCTCATTGTCAGTTTCAACATAATAATATATCCTTGCAAAAAAAAAAAAAAAAAAAAAAAAAAAAAAAAAAAAAAAAAAAAGGAAATGCAAGTTTTCATTTTGACCACAGTGCTTCAAAATGGCCAAATATGCACACATTAGAATGGTCACTATATTCAGTGACAGAACACCATCTCAGTTCTGCAGGCCAGTACTGATACACATAAATGATTTCAAATGATGGCTGGCTTTAGATTTTCAGACATCAGATCTCATCTGAAAACAAACTAGGACAAAAGTCTTGCAGAATTCAGTTGTCCACAATCAATGCCAGAGAACACAGGAATCAAAAAATCAAGTTAAGGAAACTGTAATCCATGGTGACATCATGTCACGGCTAGCTGATCTGGACAGGGGTTATGCCACGAGCACAGTGTTATGGTTTTGGCAGGTATACAGTAAGTGGCAATTTCCAGACAGAACTCATGGTGATTGTGCCATTTATGCATCAACACCCAACCCTACGCTTGCTCCTGCAGGACAACACCTGTCCCCATACTGCCAGGATAGCACAAGCATACCTGCAGAAAAGCAGATGGAGACTTCTTTTTGAGACAAGACATGTCTCAGATTGAGCATGCTAGTGATGAACTAGGCAGATGACATCATAACTGCCAGCCATAGCCTACCACTGTCATGAGTTAAGGTACTGGTGGAAGAATGGAGAAGGGAGACTCATAAAACCATAAAGCCATATGCATAAAATAAATTTGTTTTTCCTTTTTTGGCTAGTATACATATCCAACAAAAAAAAAACTGTGGGAGGAGTATTTTTGCTATGTTTAACTATTACTTTTAGTTTTGTTCTGTTCATCAGGAGTCACCTTAAAGTCACTTTAAATTTAAGCATAAGCATGCTCCGCGGCACATGATTATTTCCAAACAAATTCTCCTCAAACATAGAGTTGGCACCTGAAGTGTTACCCAAGTTCACACCTCACCCACTGCCCCAGGTCCCATCCGCCCAAGTAAATAAATCACTGACCTGTGTCTTCACATATTTCTTTAGTAAGTGCCCCATCATCTTTATACCAAATGTCCTTTAATTCTTGAACAGTAGCTCTGGAAGATGAAGGAAAACATATAAAGCACAAATAAAGCCATGTTCTCATGGGTATAGTTACTTAAAGCACATCTTCATAGCAGATAGCCGATATCAACCCCTAATCCTTAGCTTGTATGTGTTAAGATGTGGGCTACAGGTAACAAGTATCAAAATTCATAAAGATGGTTTTAAGCAACCTGCAGATTTTGTGTAATTTCTGTCTAATTTTGGGGAAAAAAGACAACAATTGTTAGTATCTCTTAGTTTAATTATAAAAAATATGTAAACAATTTGAAACTTGCTCACTTGTAAAGTACTAATGAACCCTGTATACCTACCTGAATTCTACACAGCCACTACCAGCAGGGGGTGCTGTCCACAAGACAGTGACCCCCATCTTGTGGTAGCGATAGTTGTCATCGATAATTCCAGGGTAGCGGTCAGTGATGACGTTTGGACAGCGTTCGTGACTTTTCGTGAGATGATCACTCACATGCTGAATTAAAAGAAGCCATTACTAGTATATTTCAAACTTAAAATTGATGCACAGAATTCTGTTTCAATAAACTTCACTCAATCTTAACTCACTTTTCTACTAGAAGCAGTTAATGTACAATGTTATCTGCTGCTGTATGAGTTGGCATTTTTTGCAATTTCTTATTCCAAAACATTGGTTAAAATATACTGTAAAACAGATTTTTGGGTGGAATCACAAATTAGCCATTCAGAAGAAATATTTTCACATTCATAAGTTGCAAAAATCATATTTTTCTTTATGCTTGCCTGAAACAATCCACACCTGTATAAATACAGGTGCAAGCTCACATGTTTATCATAGGAAACTAGATTTATCAATGAACAGGTTATGCATTATAAAATCAAACACATTTTTAGTATAAATATTAAGCAAATAATGGTTGCACTTTAGTACAAATATTATAAGGTATTAAGCTTGTAGACAGTCTTTGGAAATCTGCCATGCAATCCTATTATGAAAAGTTTTGACAAAGATTTATTTCTATTGATTAGATGAAATAATATGATCAGATTCACAGTACTTATAGGTAGCATTATACAGGTGGTTTTGAAAGGAAAACAGGTAACAATCTATAATCTATAGTCTACAGAGCATTATAAAATCCAAAGAGCTTACACCTAATACATGGGCTTATTATCTTTGACACCTAGCATGGGACATAATTAATCATAAATCCAATAATTTTTCCAGAATTTCTTTGAAGTATATTTGGTCCAAGGGCTAAGGTTTCTTTGTCATTACTTTACATGGCAACTCAAATCAATGTATCACCTTTTTCTTCTTTACAATCCAACATACACATCAACAGAGAAGTTTGATTATTCATATATCAAAGGACTGTTTATCTTTTCATTTTCAAGGCAATACTAACTTGCCTATCAAATCTTACTGACATGTTGCGAAACTTTATACTGCACACGTAATAACACAAAATGTACAAATAGGATGTAGAAATAAAACAATAATGAAACAAGAATTATAATGTGCAAAATGGTAGATCATAATTATGTCAAAGAAAACAGAATATACTTTAACACAAAATCCCTAGCATTCCCTCTTCTCCTTTTTTTGTCAGTAAATATAACCTGTCAGCCATCAGAACAGTTGTCCTTCAGTTTAGAGGAATATTAAGGAGTCTTTACAAAAAAGTTTATGTCCAAGAACAATTTTTAAAAAAGCAATAAAACAGGGGAACTTAGTAAAAGTAGTATATTATGTCTTATAATGTTTGTTTCAACTGTATAGCTTAAAATGAGGCCTTAAATCAAAAAAATCAGGGGATGTGTAAAGAGTTTTTTCTTTTGACAGATCATTTCCATTTGTAAAAAAACTTTTGTATGTAAAAAACAAAAAATTAAATATGTTATCCCCACTCCCAAACCATTCACTGAAAATCAAAATCATTTTTTATAAGTTGTGCGAATATCCAGTGTCTGAAATCCATCTGTTGCTCCATGACACTGCTGTCCATGCAGTGTAAAGTCCACCACCTCACCTGACATTTGTACAGAGAGGCTTCATCTTAACTCAGCCCAGCAGGCTATAGATAATAATACCTTTCCACTGCTGTGCTATATAGGCTCAATTACCACTACATGTTTACTCACTCTGTGTGGGTGCTAATAGGCCCACATTAATAACAGACAACAGATCATTCAACGGAAAAATTAGGGAGGGGAAGGGCTGTCACCATATATATAACAAGGATTCCTCCTATTGAGAAAGCCATTTATCTGCCAAATATCAATATGCAACTACTATTGTGTTTACTGGTAGCTGAACTGACACTACTGTATACATATTGAGCTGAATGCTAAATCATACGGATAATGTGTAACATCAAATCTTTTTGTCATCATTACTGGACCATCAGACTTTGAGGACAATTAAAAACGAAAAACACAAATGCTTCTGACAGGAAATATCTCTAGGCTGATGCATTTAAAAAATGCACCAAAGCTGAAACCACAAAAAATGATTCATGTTTCAAATTTTTCTGACCAAAAAGGATTGACACTTGGGCACAAGTTCCTAAAATACCAACAAAACTAGCACTAACCTGGAACCTTCCTATCGTGACATTTTCATCCCTAGCATTCTTGGGAACAGCAACAAGCATAAACCCCAGAAGTCTTTGTCTGGGATATGTGCCATTTAAAGTTACTGAAAGACAAAAGTGAAATGTCAACTATGCATTTTGCATTTACATTCAATTTCATTAATTTTAATTTCATTAAATATCCCTACAGCTTACGAAAAGTTGGTTATTTCATTTAATTCTTTAATTAAGTTTTTAATATATGGACAAGGAGTAAAAATTGATTGAAAGGACAAACTAATATCTTATAAATGGAATCTAAAAAAAAGATTTGGGCTGTTGGAGAAGTTTTAAATAACATGCCAAACCGACAGCGCTGAAAGACGTCTTAAACTGACATATCTTGTTACATATTACACAATGATCCATTTTCTGACATATTTTATCAGTATGCCATATGTAAAATCATTCCATAAAATTATTACCAAAAATACAAGTAACCTCTTTGGACTACAGTACCAATAAAAATATTTTTTAATTGTCAAGGAATAAAAAAAAATTCATTTAATGAAGACTCTTATAAGAATCGGGCCCATTTTCACATGAGCGCAATAAACATGTTCTACACCCCTGCTTTCTGTGGTTTCATTACTCAAGTCTGGTAAGGAGCTTCGATGAAAAAATAAGTCCTAAAAATCTTATTTACATTAAAACCATAACATTCTTCAGTTTAATTACACTTACTGGTGTACTTCTTGTTAGGCGTGTACGTCGCATGGGGTGTAGTTCCAATAACTCGTATTTTAAAGCCGTTGTCTCCCGGAGTTCTGCTGGCCCTTGTTTCTGAGGGAATTCGCCGACAATAGCCGTCCGGTTCACTCGTCACGAGGCCACATATTGCCAACAAAGTTAATAGTAATAATCTACAAATTCTGTGACACAATATCATATCGGTAAAATACTCATAAGTCCAACAGCTAGAAGATGTGTTGATTTTAACAGAACTTTCAAGTTTTGCGTGCCTCTCTCACCGCACACACAACTGTTTGACCCAGTTTCCGCCAATGGCTATTACTTACGTCAATATCACTCCCTCTTGAATTGCTGTTAATGCGCAAAACATGCCCATAACAACATGGACATTGTTCCTTGTTAAGTGGTCTGAAGAACAGGAAAATTGACGTAACTATAAGTTTATCAGCATAAAACACCATTTGATGTTAGCGGTAACAAGTAATCGTTTTGGCTAATAAATATCACGTGGGTGTAGCGCAGTAATCGGCGACCGCACCAGATGCCCGCAAAACATTCCAACAGCTTCATATTCTGGTAGTGTATATGGGTTATCTCAGTTAATTTTATTTGCGAGGGGCTTCATCCTCATAAACATGACTCGTATTCACTGCATTTCTTGGCAGTAATCACATCATGCTGACTACTGACAGTTTTCCCTCGGTTGTTGGTTCCTAACAAGCATGAACACTCCACGCTAGCCTGAACAGGCAACGAGCCGTCGTCTGCTTGAATGACGAGTGCACTGAACTAAACGACTGTAGGCCTACGCTTTACTTTTCAATTGTGGCTTCTTTTGTCGCATTTCATCCCGTTGATTGTAAAATAGCTTCTGTCAGCTAAACGTACTTGACTTTGAATAGAGAAAGAAAAACGTGCTATTTTCTTTAAATTGTTGGCGAAAAAAATTAGAGAAAAGCCTGACGCGAAGCCCGACACCGGTTGACGCCCTCGTTTTAAAAGGAGTGTAGGAATACAGGGTAGATGGGGGACCTTTTCTCAAAATCCAAGGCCAAAGACTACCGCGGATAGGAGGCCTAATATTAAACATCATTTAGGGGGAAAGACAACACGAAAAGGTACACGTCCTCGATGAAAATAGGTCTTACGCGTTTTTCTGATTACAAATGTGTCTGATTATTGAGTAAAACTTTAACTTTTTAAGTCATATTCTCTGGTGGTCCCCATTAATTTTTTTCGTGACACTACAGAAAAACATATATTTTTGTTTAGATAAACATATTCATAAAATCGTTTTTATCCTCTTCTTGTGAAAACATAACACAAGTGATTTTTTCAACATGGACGTGGACGTGGACGCGTCCTTTCCATGACTTTCCATCCTGTCGATTCTCCAGTTTTCAGATATAAACGCTGCAATTTCTTGAGATCTCTTCGGTGCACGTGAACTTCACATTTAAGAAACAAGTGGAAAGTGAAGCTGAAATAGACAAAAACGAAGCCCCCTCAATCTGGCTAAACCCTCTACATGTATCTCCAACTCCTGCTGTTTATCCTGAGATGGAAGGCGGGAAACAAGTGTGTGTACGTGTTATATATATTAAACGATGGCAGAGGGGATTCCTTTTAGTCAACCCCTATTCCAATTTTAGTGCTTTTGCTTGACGTGGATGAGAAAGTTAATTACTACGCCTCGCCAATGGTATTGCAAGTTTATATTTTACCAGTAACGTAACCAGAAAGGATGAATCAAGGCATTATTTACATATTCAGTTTGCGTAATGCCATCTATTTTATCTCTTACTACTAACAGGATTTTCAATTTGAAATGGATTCAGGAACTTTTCATAAGCTAAAGGTCAGAAGTAAGCCAATTTTATTGCGAGTGACAAGCGTCTGGTCGAGCTACATGCAGCTGGAGTTTCAAGTTTTTGAGATAAATTCGTAATATAGATATAGGCGATAGATTTTACTACGTAAAAATAAGAAGTTAACAACCTGAAAACATCAGTTTTCTCAACAGTTTGGGATATAGCATTCCTTGGCGATAAAGAAAAAATTGAAAAAATGTACGAAAAAAGACGAAGACATTTTTGCTGTTCTCATGTGGATTTTGCAATTGAAAGGAAAATAGCATACGTTTATCTTCGTTTTCTCGGCACCCCCGTGACTTTACAAGAGAAGCATGGCCACAAACTCCCTGGGGAAATCAGCAACCAATTTTGACAATCATACAAGGCAATTAGGAAAGAAAATGGGGAATTCAAATAGAATTTTCTTATAGTTTACACTTGCTGCAAAGGAAGTTCCCGCGAAATATGCGAACACGCTGCTTCCATTTCAGTCAAATGTTATCAGTCAGTTTGGAAATTTACACAAAGAATAATAATGAAAGTGATTTTTGTTGTAGATTTGCTTCTGCAAATTTCATTTAGAACCTTCTCTGGCCTTGGCGACGAAACTATTTAATCATCTGTCTACAAGCCCAGCTGGGGTGTGCAAAATGTACTGCTGCCAAGACGCTAATTTCTTGTTGGTTATTTTACTTTTCTAAGCCTGACCGATCTTTTCATATCAACAGACGTTTGAAATTCCAAAATTTATGGCCACCAACTCTAAAACTAGTCCGCCAAAGTTTCAAGGCCCAGTCAAAATCAGGTTGAAAATGAAGACTCACTTCAATAAGTCGTCTCCAGGTATTAATTTTGTGCACTTTGCTGGAAAAGTTTTAAAAGTTGGTTCTCACGACACTTCAGGACCGAAATACGACCACTTATATCGACCAACTACTTGGATTTCTACTCATTTACTTTCAAGACAAATCATATCTCAAGTCCTTCAGACTTTAGAGGCACCGTCCTCCCACAAGAAACTTACCGCAATTGTGTTTCATTTCTTTTTTTTTTTTTTTGTAAATCCAATATTGTTGCCATTTATGATTGGCAATTATTCAGTAATAATGAAAAACAAAAGAGCATAGTAGTAAACATAATTTATTTGTTTAAATAAATAAAGCGTACAATATTTCCAAAAATGGTATTTTCACAGATTACTCAACCAAAAATAAAAAAAATTACATTTTGACCATTTCAAGTTCATTCACAAAAATATTTCAGTAAAATTCTTTGCCATTGTCTATTTTTGTATGTAAAAGCTTTTTTTTGCAAATAATGTCTAGTATTTTTTGTAAAATTTTGCTTCATATTTGTCTCTCAAAACAAGAAGCCAAAATTTCATAAAAATTCAGAAGCCCTGAAGCAGCTTCAATCAAGTTTTCATAAACTACAACAGGAAATATGAGAAATACCAGTACATGATAAATATATCTGTCTACTGTTAACTACGTCGTTCTGATAAGCACTCATGAGATGTTTCTTAAGTAAATTTTAACAGGTCTGTAGTTTTCCTCAGGTGTGACTCAAAACGATGCCAAGCAACGTCTGCTTACAGGCACAATGTTCCATAGTGCACTGGAGGTCTCAGTATATCAAATCATCAGTGAACAATTCTTGTAGAAATACAGGAAGTGAAGCATTAAACTCCGGTGCAGTAGAGCACAAGATCCGCAAGCAGCTGTAGAGTGCATCAATTTGTTACTGTATCAAACTTTCCAGCTCAATAAACTGTTCTGGAGTACACCACCATTATTAAGTAGACCAACATCTTGTTTGCTGGCTGGAATCTCAACTCAAGTTAGCACAACAACAACAACAACAAAGACACAATACTGCCATTATCAACAAAAAATCTAGATTATACATAGTTATGCAAAACAAAACAATGTCACTTGTGCTTATTAATACCATTTTTAGTTATATATCTCCAAGCAGATATACATGAACAAATTCAGATGGAAGATTCAATCTGTAAGCAGTTTCTGATAGTCACAAGTAACTGGGACTATCATGAATTCCCTACTACTTTCAAAATCGCAATGAATTTTGCAGTTTACAGAAATGTGTAACATATGTGTCGCAAATGAAGTACCTGGTTGTTCAGATTTGCTGAGAAATAATCCATAAGGAATGAGGTTTCATATTCGATTTAATTACAAGCTTATTTACACTGCTCTTGTATACAGAATAATTGATTTCCTGGTTGATTTGGTGGAGGCTCAAATCGCACAAGCACTTTCAGCTCATTGATTTTTCCATCACCAATCTGTCTCAGCATACACATATATGTATATACACCAGAGAGGGTTTGAACAGAACTTCCATCTGGTTTTGTTCACCATACTTACTGCGCAGTAATCATTCCAATCTCTCCAGGTTGTATGGGCATTCTTCACTGCTGGTGTTATCATGCTGTTGCCAAGGATACCATAAACATTACCGAAGGGCAGTGTGATAGGTTTTCAGTTCTGTCATACTGAATATTTTCTTTCAATATTAGTTCATTTTCACACTTTGCCAGGGAGCACAAGACCAACAACTGTGTGGTTTGGCCTGCAAGTTTGTGATAAAAAGTTACTTTTTTATTATTATTAGATCTTCCCAGCCTTCAAATGTTTTAAATTTTCAGGTCAAAATTCAGATTTGCAGGATAATAAGTCCATGCTGCCAAACGTTAAAAAAAAAAAAAGATTTTCTTTAACAAGCAATTTGCAACTCTTAATATTCACTTAAAAGTTGAAATATCTCTGACCTGTTTACACCATTTCAGAAGAATTTAAAAATAAATAAAATTTAATGGGCTATATTTAATGTAAAAGGACAATAATCTAATCATTGACAGGGCTCTAATATTACAACTGGTTCTTGGGCTTCAAGAAAGTTTGAGTATAGTGGCAACAAAGGGAGCAATGTTCACTTCTAAACGGTTGCACTCCTCTATCAACTTGGTTACAACCTCTGCTGCTTGTTGACTGATGGCAAACAGGATGAACTGTAATGATATAAAATATTGCAGAAATAGAAATGTTTTTAAATCAAGATGGCAATTTGTAAAAAAAAATGTTACACAAATGATAATTTTAACGTACTTCTGACATGTAATCAATTGAAACTTTACATTAAATATCCAGTGCTACAACATGTTTAAGTTTTATATAAAAATAAGAATGTGTCTTATTCTTAAGTTTTTCCTTTTCCTTTAAGGCTAATACAAATCTAGGAAAAATCCAATTTAACTAGGGAAATGAGAAAATATTACATCTTTCCATAAAGACACGGTGTACTGGAGACTTCCAACTGCCTTCTGGTATGCTTTGTGAACCTAAAATGTAAAACATTAATCCTGTCACCTGAATAACAAGAAACAATCAGTAAACAATGTGTCTCCCCCCCCCCATCCTTTTTCAAAAATACTACATTTTGCATCTGAAAAATGAAAGTGAAATGTTCCATATTCATCTAAAATAATCAATACATGTTGCTATTTCTGTTGAAAGCAAATACAGTGTCTGTGGTTAATCAGGCAGTTTCAAACAGAAAAGGGAAACTTCCAGCATGCAATCAGTCCATCAAAGCCCTCTCCTGTCACAGCTTCGTGCTTTATTAGTTTTCTGACTGCCTTACAACGAGTGCCCTAGAGACAACTTAGAGGCAGCTGGGTCCAAGATATACTGCCAATTGACACACTGCTAATTATTAATATACCTTGCCATTCTATCATTATTATTACAAGAGACATTTATGACAAGATGATTACACCTTACTAGGATAAAATGAAACGGGCACTGTTATATCTGTGCAGCTTTAATTGCAAGAGTGCTCTATAAAGAGTTTGTGTTATCAAATCTGGGCATTGTTACCACATTTACCTCTTTCACTTTTCCCTGCTTCAGCAGCAGATTAATAGCACTGAAAAGGAAGGTATTTAGGTGTTAGATGAAATTGGATGGTATGATTCATTACTTCACTACACTCATTTCCTGCCAACTTTGGTCAGTGATTTGCTTTGTTAGAATGAAATACTACAGGCTGTCTGGTTCAACCTTAACCACATTATTCTTACTTGAAAGATGGCCTTCATGTGGATTATGTTAAAACATATCTAAGAATAGAAAAGACAGACATTTTAACTGCAGAGCATATCAGGCCAAGTAAATCAAATTTCCATATCCGATTACGTATTTTGTGTAAAGTGGTAAACATCTTCTTGGCAATGTATCACTGATGAATTATTCAAACTCAACTTGCTGTCTCAACAGATCATTTTCAGTGCTTCAGTCCTCTCAAATAGGAAAAAGGATTGAAGAACAATTAACTAATGCACCAGAGATATAAAATTCCATTTGAATGGTGTCTACAGGGATGAGTAAAGTGTTCCACTGTATCAGGAAGTGCCAAAAATGTACAGTTGTGTTTACAGTCACTTCATTACAGATAATGGGCTCTGGAGCTGGTTTCGCAAAAGAAATTTAGACTAAAACTTGGACTGAACAATTATATAAGTCTACTCTGACTCAAGATAAATCAATACTAGTTCACAAAAAGTGTTGCTTCATTTTTTTAATAAACTACAATATAATTTACCAGAAGACCAAAATTTAGTTTAAAAAATATGACCAATGTTTTTTGCCTAAAAATCTTCTGTAAAACCAGCTCCTTGGGGAACAATTTATCATAAATGAATGATAAATATTGTGGTACATTATTACTTAGGAAAAATTCAACTTACCATATCAATCTAAACAGTTCCACTTAGACCTCATGTTGCATAGCAGACCAAAACCCACCCACCCTTAATCTTTACCTTAATTTTGTCTTCCACAAAATCAGTTTGCTTTTCAGTTGAAGCAGCTCCACTTAACTTTAACAATCCATTCAATTGGGAGCTCAATGACTTAAACAGATTTTGCATTGATTTTCTGGAATCATTCTGGATGTCCATGTTGGACATCTTTGTTTTAAAACTTTTATTTATTAAGTAATATTTGTGCAACATTTTCTATATTAGTTGATACCCCATACATTTTCCAAAGTCTTGTACAGGCAGGCAGATCATACAATGCTGGATAGCACAAGCTCAAAATGGCAGGGTCATCTCCATCTTCATGAAAGTATTGCACTGACCTGAAGTACAAAACCAAATACCAAATATACAGTAAAACAATAGCCATTGTTACTGAAATTATTAACGTGCATGTCTATGCATCTGCTGGCTAACAGTTCTATGTAGTCAAAGACAATGAGTGTGGTTTAGTGGTGGTTATTTGTTGGAGAAAGTCTTCAAAAATCATTGACAAACAGTGGTGATACTGTGTGTGTGAGAGAGAGAGAGAATGTGTTCATCAATTATTCACAACCAGGTCTTGGTTGTCATCCAAGCTTATCAAATTAGCTCACTCTTGACACTGAACTGGACAGAAAATAAGGTAATATATGTAAATTAACACTGTTGTCAAACAAACTGACAGTAATTACAGGAGAGAAGTGACACTCCAATGATGCTATCCAAATCCTATTCCCGAAAATCAATAGAATTGATATTTATGAGAGGTAGCGAGTTTGCAGTCCTTTCTGCAATGTGCATCAATATCGCCCTAATAACACACTTATATTCTCACTAGCTATATCCTCGTCTAATGGATTTCCTGAATACCATCTCCAGGCACCAGTGGAACAATTTCTTAGTCAAATTCTATGGATAACAATTCTCAGTTACAGATTACAGTTATTTTTTTTCATTTGTTCATTTTTATAAAATCTCATTCAGATTTGGGATTAACGTTGTGACTTGGCAAAAGTTAAAATAAGTAACTTCAGCATCTGAGAGTTAGCTCAAAAAGGAAAAATTAAACACATTGTAGCAAGTCTTAATAATCAGAAATTGGCAATTTTCTATGCCCTATCAAATCCCCCCCTCCCAATGTTTTCTGCACCAACCATTTGGAGAGGGGGAAGCTTTCTTTAACTCCAAGTAACATCTTTGCTTACTAATTGCTTTGTAAAGATACTACTGCTAACAGCTTTGCTTTCAACCCTACTTAAAACTCAGAGAACTGACAACCTAAAGATAAGTGAATGGTTTATGACCTGCAGAACTGTTACAGGAATGCTAGCACGACAGTGCTTAAATCTCCACAACTAAATGACAGCCAATAATATAAAATGGCATTTTAACAAATTTTACATATACCACAGAATCTGCTAAAACAATGCCATTAAAAATCTATAAATAAATCCAAATAAATTCATTGTATCAGTTTTAGTCCAACCAGTTTCATGATCAGACATAATAAATAAACAAACGTGTCTCCCTTTCATATAGGTGCTATACTGATTGTCTTGATTCCCAAGACACAAATGACATATTACTAAATAGATTTGCACTACAGGGTCAATGACAGTTGCTCATTTCTTGACTAGATCCTCAATTGTTAGTATAGATAACTGACAACCACTCACTTTACAACTAGTTCCACATTCCCAGGCATCATTTTCAGGAAATGCCGAAATGCTGGTCCTATTTGATCCTTTGTGAGGGACTGAAGATAAAGGTCCACCACCTGAAACAAACATGAACAAAAACATTACAAAACTGCTCAAAATATCACACTGCATCATCTAACAGGTCAGGAAATTGCAACCATTTTCCTATTCTCTTCAATCCATCAAACTCACTTCTTGATGAAATTGTTATGAAGTGCTGGCTTAATGGGATGACATCGCCTTACAATGTGATTCGAACTATAGTGTCAGAGAGTTCTAATACCTGGTTGTGGAATGTGTAGTTATTCCAGTGTTTGGAAGGGCAGAATGGCAAAGGGAAAGATACTGGTGTAGTCTGAAGGCACCGACGGTTTAAATCACGCAACATGGACACCTCAGAACTCTTTCCTTTGGTGAGAGCAACCTGGAACTTGTGTCTAAGATAACTGCAAACAGAACAAAAATTTTAATGAACAAAATGGCATTCACATTTTCCACAAAATCTCAATTCAGCATGTGTATTCCATTGGTATATAGGTTAAGAGGATAAGGCCCATTCCAATCAATAACTCTTAAACTCCACACATCTTGCAGGCTAACATGCAGTCCTACCTGACCCAAACTGCCCTAACATCCTCCACAGACTTCACACTATACAGAGCTGTCTCGTACACTTCCACAGCCTGGGCATCATCCCCCTGGAGATGGAGCAACGTGCTGGAAAAACATGAATCTGTTTATTTAACAAAATTGGAAATGTCTCATGAAATCAATACTTCTTATTAAATTAAATGATCTCCAAAACACATGTAATTCATTAGCTGGGCTCTCTTTGGTATGGTGTACTTTATCCCATCATTCGATGTAGCCTAATTTTGCTCAGGAAGATATGAAATAATTATTTCCCCATAACTGCTCTTTAATCCAGTTGGAAACTTTGATTAATCCCTTTTTTTGGCAAAAAGAATATTGTAGGGATCCCAAACATTTCCCAAAGGTATCTTTTTTTAAAGGTAAAACTCAAGGCTACGACATGTGACAACTGACAAGTATTCTTTTTTTTAACATACCTGTAATTCAGCCACATATACAACATGTGTTTTCTGATATCCTCAGCACTAACACCTTCTTTGTACTGTGGTTCTTTATAGGTGAGAGGCAGACTTTGGCCTAGGACTTTGCTGAAAATAACCATGAAAGTGCTCGTCTGGCAACAATATGTCTGTTGTCATATATTTTCAATATTGCCATTACATTTTTTACAAGAAACTTTTAGTTCAATGGGAATTTAAGAGGTACATAATAAAGTTAAACACAGCCTAATAATGTCAGTGCTATCTTTACTTTTTTAAGTTTTGTTGATTGCAACCATTTTGTATTACATCTTGGTGAATATTTTAAATTAACTTCTGTATGTGGAGGCCTACCAGTAGAGCAAGTTGGGATCACATATCTTGGAATTATTGATATCAACATCAAATAGGTCAATAACACATCTCTCTAACTCCTCTAAGGCACTGTCTGCATCACCCTGAAGAAAAATCCAAAGAAGATGCAATAGAATATGACAAGATACTGAAACAAACTTAATTTAACAANCTCAATTCCCAAGACACAAATGACATATTAAATAGGTTTGCATTACAGGGTCAATGACAGTTGCTCATTTCTTGACTAGATCCTCAATTGTTAGTATAGATAACTGACAACCACTCACTTTACAACTAGTTCCACATTCCCAGGCATCATTTTCAGGAAATGCCGAAATGCTGGCCCTATTTGATCCTTTGTGAGGGACTGAAGGTAAAGGTCCACCACCTGAAACAAACAAGAACAAAAACATTACAAAACAGCTCAAAATATCACACTGCAATCATCAAACAGGTCAGGAAATTGCAACCATTTTCCAATTCTCTTCAATCCATCAAACTCACTTCTTGATTAAATTGTTATGAAGTGCTGGCTTAATGGGATAACATCACCTTACAATGAGATTCAAACTGTAGTGTCAGAGAGTTCTAATACCTGGTTGTGGAATGTGTAGTTATTCCAGTGTTTGGAAGGACAGAATGGCAAAGGGAAAGATACTGGTGTAGTCTGAAGGCACCGACGGTTTAAATCACGCAACACGGACACCTCAGAACTCTTTCCTTTGGTGAGAGCAACCTGGAACTTGTGTCTAAGATAGCTGCAAACAGAACAAAAATTTTTATGAACAAAATGGCATTCACATTTTCCACAAAATCTCAATTCAGCATGTGTATTCCATTGGTATATAGGTTAAGAGGATAAGGGCCATTCCACTCAATAACTCTTAAACTCCACACATCTTGCAGGCTAACATGCAGTCCTACCTGACCCAAACTGCCCTAACATCCTCCACAGACTTCACACTATACAGAGCTGTCTCGTACACTTCCACAGCCTGGGCATCATCCCCTTGGAGATGGAGCAATGTGCTGGAAAAATATCAATCTGTTTATTTAACAAAATTGGAAATGTCTCATGAAATCAATACTTCTACAAAATGTGTAATTAATAAGTTGGGCTCTCTTCAGTATGGTGTATTTTATCCAACCACAAATTTTAGTCTAATTATGTTCAAGAAGATATGAAATGATAGTAAAAAAAAAAAAAAAAAATCCTCTTTAATTCAGTTGGAGACCGATTCATCTTAAATCATCCAATTTTTTGACAAAAAGAATATTGTAGGGATCCCAAACATTCCCCAAAGGTATATTTTTTAAAGGTAAAACACAACTTTTTTTTTTACATACCTGTAATTCAGCCACATATACAACATGTGTTTTCTGACATCCTCAGCACTAACACCTTCTTTGTACTGTGGTTCTTTATAGGTGAGAGGCAGACTTTGGCCCAGGACTTTGCTGAAAATAACCATGAAAGTACTCGTCTGGCAGCAATATGTCTGTTGTCATATATTTTCAATATTGCCATTACATTTTATTCCTACAAATACATTGAGTTTAAGTTTTTTACAAGAAACTTTGAGTTCAACGGGAATTTAAGAGGTGCATAATAAAACTAAACACAGCCAAATAATGTCAGTCCTATCTTCACTTTTTAAAGTTTTGTTGATTGCAACCATTTTGAATTACATCTTGGTGAATATTTTAACATGAACTTCTGTATGTGCAGACCTACCAGTAGAGCAAGTTGGGATCACATATCTTGGAATTATTGATATCAACATCAAATAGGTCAATAACACATCTCTCTAACTCCTCTAAGGCACTGTCTGCATCACCCTGAAGACAAATCCAAAGAAGATGCAATAGAATATGACAAGATACTGAAAAAAACTTAATTAAAAACTTAATTTAAAAAGAGTGCAGGAAGGCAAGGTCACCAACGTAGAGCAACTTTGAAAACCACAGTAATACATCACAAAAAGATTATATCTTTCATATGCAAATGTTTTTATATGAGAGATTAATTCCACAAGAAAATACTTAAACAAGAGAATTACCTGTGTGAGTTCAAAGCTGACAGCTGCATGATATAATACCGAGGCCTTGGGCCCTGCAACTTTTGACTTTGCTTCAGATAGCACCTAGACAATATAAACAACAGGTAATTAATTTGTGGCTCTTAATTCGTTTTTCATAGTATTCCTAAAAGAAGGAAATGTTGTGCTTTTCTCCAATACAAAGATATATCAAAGCTTATCAAAGACAGCATTTCTTTTTAGCATTGAACTGTATTATTGTTAGCAGACGATGCACATTAAAAGATGTAAAATTGTTTCAATATTGCACCTATCTGTAACTTGTTGTAGCACCTGAATGGAACACAGTACATGTACATAACTGAACCATGTAACTTAGGGTGCACATTTACTTACATTGCCATTCTAACAATGATTAACAACTAGGTCAACTTTTGTTGCAATGAGTAAAAGGTAGGATTTGGACAGTATGCCTCATTCTTGAAAGTGTTAGCTGACAATGTGCTAGCTGTGACAATGTGTTAACAGTAGAGATGAATCTGGTGCTTTCAACAAACAAAATAATGCAAGCACTGAAGGGTCGGAGTCGGGCATACAGACACTCAAGAAGGCTTTAATCTCTGTAACAGTAACATTGTAGAACAATGAGTGCACTAAAGGTGCTTTAACAGAGTCCGTGTGAAAACTTATGACAGCTAGGTGTGGCCCTACGCTTAACCCTTACCGCTCTGACTTCTTCCACTTTCTTCTGTCTTTTACAGATGTCAGCTAGACACAACCATAAATCTGTATTGCTTGGGCTGGAAGACAGCAGCTTACGGCACACCCCCTTGGCTGGTTCATATCTGAAATATGTCCACTTAAAATCAATTTCTTTATGTCCACTTTTTAAGGGGTCTAAAATAGAGGCATTAAAAACCGTAAGATTTAAATAACTTTTCAAATCATATTTAATAAGTGATGTGTTTTTAAGAGGTTAAAAAGATTTTTTAAAAAGTTTACATTGCTTTGTTAAATTAGGTTTGGTATTGCTGCAGATTTCCTCTAAGGCCTTACCTTCCTCTAAGGTCTTACCTTCCTTTAGCCACCTCTAAAGCTACAAGGTTTCTATACAGTGGCATACAATTGGCAATGTTTATTTCTGTGCCAAGTTTACTCTGTGAACACTGTTTAAAAGCCAGAGAGAAATTCTGGATTGGATTGTCTTTGCTGCCTTTGGGTCTTTTGCTTTTCCATGGAACAATAAACGGTTCCTAAATGAGCAAAAAAACTTTATCAATAAATAAAGAAAATTTGCCACTACCAAACAGAGGAAGTTGAAAATGGGAGAAATGTTGAATGCCGGATGTGACGTTCCATATTAAAAATGATTCACTATTATAAAAGGTCCAGGTAAAACATCTGTATTCATTTTCATAAAAGATGGTACTATATGTAACATTTTTTGTCAACAGAAGCTGCATATTAAGCCTTGCACAAGGTCTTAAAGTGAACATCATTCTGTTGTTACTGTTGCACCTGAATGGAACACAGAACATGTAGAAAAATGAACCATGTAACTTAGGGTGCAAATTCTACACACTAAATGTTGACCTCAATCTACTTTCTTACAAACTGTTTTTTCCTCTATTAACAAATAAAATCATAAATGTATATAATATGAATTTTCCATGCTAATCAATATCATTTAAAATGGCAATTTTCAACAATATTCTCACTTACCTTGTTGACGATTCTCCCGGGGTTATTATTAGCAGGATCAAACATACACTGAGGCAAGCTCTGTGTCTCTAGTAAGTTTAAGTATGCTAGCCATGTAAGCACGCGGTCCTGGGGTACCATACATCTACACAGGGGACTGATGCCACCTACTTCAGGCTTAAGGACATTCTACAATACACAATTTATATATGAGAATACCGTTTTCTCAACATATATGACATAATTTAATCAATGTGATTCTTCTTGTCTTCAATATTTGTGTGTCAACTTCAATCTTAAGGTTGCAATTTCAGAATAACTTATCAATTAAAAAAAAAGAAAAACTTCCATTCAAAAATCAACACAAAAATATGAGAATCAACACAGGTGTCCACCGTGTTACCTGTATTATTTTCAATCCAGACTTGTATCTCCCACTCTGGATGTTAAGAGAAACTTGGTAGAGCATTATTTCCAGAATCTGGTGTGAGATTTGTGCCTGTGGCATATGGCGCACAGCTTGGAGATATGCAAGAATCTGTTGACAAATAGTTTCCTTCTTGCTGAACGGCTTGGTCAGGGTTAAGTACTGGAAATATCCAAAAGACTATAAGATTTCTATATAACATGAATTTCACATATATCCAAACAGTGTTATGGTTTTTATAGTCCAGTAAATTACAACAGATTATAATACAATAACAAGCACGTAATTTTGCTTAAATTAATGACAGTGACATAGATTTACTGTTATATGAAGCAAAATGTTACAGCTGTATGCTGTTATTGCCTTCAAGGTATTCCAGGGTGTAAAAACAAAATAACAAAGGAAAAGATATGGGTGTAATCTGCAGGCAAAGATGGCTTAAACGATGAAATTCAGACACCTCAGTACCTCTTACAGGGTCTAACACAATACTGAGAGGAACACATCTGATATTACGGTGCGAATACTTACCATCCACCATAATTCATAAGATGGAGCCAGTTTCACTGCCTGCTCACACATGTCTAATGTCTCCTGGAACTGACCCAGCTTTTTGTGCAGGTTTAAGTAATGTTGCCACAGGTCAGTGCTGTGTTTGTTAGCCTCCAGGCCACGAGCTAGGACATTTAGTGCAAGTTCTAGTCCTTTGTCTGTTGGACTGTCACTGGAGAGGAAGAGAAAGAATTTAAAAGAGAAAATTATCAAAAGGTTTTATCAGTTTACCGTGAATCAACAATCTCTCCAAAAATATAAAAAGTATGCATGACAAAGTACAATGCTCAGTAAGTTTCAAACTGTCGATCTCAGTATAAAAAGAGATCTGTTTAAAAAAAATTCAACATAAAAATATAATGAAACATTAAGCATCTTCCTCTTTTTTACTTTTTTTTTTCAAAGCTCGATTTCTACAACTTCAAATCATCTTATTTATCATTTGTCTACAAACGGTGCTATGAAACTTCATCACAGGTACTAGAAAGTTATAAAACAACAACAAAAAAAAAAGTATTCATCTGACTNGCGTTTACAAGGTTGCATATATGCTGAAAAGTGAAAAAACAGCATAACTTCTACAATAATGGCCCGATCATGCTGATTTTCGAACTTGACCTGCGTTTTATGAATATTCATCAGCTCTGTAAATATAAAGCCAAAAAGTAAAACTGGCTTCCACTTATCGTGTTTACAAGGAAAGTGCACGGCGACGGCATCGGCATCGCCATCGGCATCGGCGACGGCGACGACAGACGCAGGTGATGGCAATACGTACAGACACATCTGTGTCTGTACATAAAAAGAGTGCAGGAAGGCAAGGTCACCAACGGAGAGCAACTTTGAAAACCGCAATAATACATCACCACAAAGATTATATCTTTCATGTGCAAATGTTTTTATATGAGAGATTAATTCCACAAGAAAATACTTCAACAAGAGAATTACCTGTGTGAGTTCAAAGCTGGCAGCTGCATGATATAATACCGAGGCCTTGGGCCCTGCAACTTTTGACTTTGCTTCAGATAGCACCTAGACAATATAAACAGCAGGTAATTAATTTGTAGCTCTTAATTCGTTTTTCATAGTATTCCTAAAAGAAGGAAACATTGTGCTTTTCTCCAATACAAAGATATATCAAAGCTTATCAAAGACAGCATTTCTTTTTAGCATTGAATTGTATTATTGTTAGCAGACGATGCACATTAAAAGATGTAAAATTGTTTCAATATTGCACCTATCTGTAACTGTTGTTGTAGCACCTGAATGGAACACAGTGCATGTACATAACTGAACCATGTAACTTAGGGTGCACATTTACTTACAGTGGCATTCTAACAATGGTTAACAACTAGGTCAACTTTTGTTGCAATGAGTAAAAGGTAGGATTTGGACAGTATGCCTCATTCTTGAAAGTGTTAGCTGACAATGTGCTAGCTGTGACAATGTGTTAACAGTAGAGATGAAACTGGTGCTTTCAACAAACAAAATAATGCAAGCACTGAAGGGTCAGAGTTGGGCATACAGACAAATCAAGAAGGCTTTAATTTCTGTAACAGTAACATTGTAGAACAATGAGTGCACTAACGGTGCTTTAACAGAGTCAGTGTGAAAACTTATGACAGCTAGGTGTGGCCCTACGCTTAACCCTTACCGCTCTGACTTCTTCCACTTTCTTCTGTCTCTTACAGATGTCAGCTAGACACAACCATAAATCTGTATTGCTTGGGCTGGAAGACAGCAGCTTACGGCACACCCCCTTGGCTGGCTCATATCTGAAATATGTCCACTTAAAATCAATATCTTTATGTCCACTTTTTAAGGGGTCTAAAATAGGGGAATTAAAAACCATAAGATTCAAATAATTCTTCAAATCATATGTAATGAGTGATGTGTTTTTTTAAGAGGTTAAAAAGGTAAAATAATACGTTTACATTGCTTTGTAAAATTAGGTTTGGTATTGCTGCAGATTTCCTTTAAGGCATGCACATGTGTCTTACCTTCCTTTAGCCACCTCTAAAGCTACAAGGTTTCTATACAGTGGCATACAATTGGCAATGTTTATTTCTGTGCCAAGTTTACTCTGTGAACACTGTTTAAAAGCCAGAGAGAAATTCTGGATTGGATTGTCTTTGCTGCCTTTGGGTCTTTTGCTTTTCCATGGAACAATAAACGGTTCCTAAATGAGCAAAAAACTTTATCAATAAATAAAGAAAATTTGCCACTACCAAACAGAGGAAGTTAAAAATGGGAGAAATGTTGGATGCCGGATGTGACGTTCCATATTAAAAATGATTCACTATAAAAGCTCCAGGTAAAACATCCGTATTCATTTTCATAAAAGATGGTATATGTAACATTTTTTGTCAACAGAAGCTGCATATTAAGCCTTGCACAAGGTCTTAAAGTGAACATCATTCTGTTGTTACTGTTGCACCTGAATGGAACACAGAACATGTAGAAAAATGAACCATGTAACTTAGGGTGCAAATTCTACACACTAAATGTTGACCTCGATCTACTTTCTTACAAACAGTTTTTTTCCTCCATTAACAAATAAAATCATAAATGTATATAATATGAATTTTCCATGCTAATCAATATCATTTAAAATGGCAATTTTCAACAATATTCTCACTTACCTTGTTGACGATTCTCCCGGGGTTATTATTAGCAGGATCAAACATACACTGAGGCAGGCTCTGTGTCTCTAGTAAGTTTAAGTATGCTAGCCATGTGAGCACGCGGTCCTGGGGTACCATACATCTACACAGGGGACTGATGCCACCTACTTCAGGCTTAAGGACATTCTACAATACACAATTTATATATGAGAATACAGTTTTCTCAACATATATAACATAATTTAATCAATGTGATTCTTCTTGTCTTCAATATTTGTGTGTCAACTTCAACCTTAAGGTTGCAATTTCAGAATAACTTATCAATTAAAAAAAAAAAAAAAAAACTTCTATTCAAAAATCAACACAAAAATATGAGAATCAACACAGGTGTCCACCATGTTACCTGTATTATTTTCAATCCAGACTTGTATCTCCCACTCTGGATGTTAAGAGAAACTTGGTAGAGCATTATTTCCAGAATCTGGTGTGAGATTTGTGCCTGTGGCATATGGTGCACAGCTTGGAGATATGCAAGAATCTGTTGACAAATAGTTTCCTTCTTGCTGAACGGCTTGGTCAGGGTTAAGTACTGGAAATATCCAAAAGACTATAAGATTTCTATATAATATGAATTTCACATATATCCAAACAGTGTTATGGTTTTTATAGTCCAGTAAATTACAACAGATTATAATACAATAACAAGCACGTAATTTTGCTTGAATTAATGACAGTGACATAGATTTACTGTTATATGAAGCAAAATGTTACAGCTGTATGCTGTAATTGCCTTCAAGGTATTCCAGGGTGTAAAAACAAAATAGCAAAGAAAAAGATATGGGTGTAATCTGCAGGCAAAGATGGCTTAAACGATGAAATTCAGACACCTCAGTACCTCTCACAGGGTGTAACACAATACTGAGAGGAACATATCTGATATTACGGTACCAATACTTACCATCCACCATAATTCATAAGATGGAGCCAGTTTCACTGCCTGCTCACACATGTCTAATGTCTCCTGGAACTGACCCAGCTTTTTGTGCAGGTTTAAGTAATGTTGCCACAGGTCACTGCTGTGTTTGTTAGCCTCCAGGCCACGAGCTAGGACATTTAGTGCATGTTCTAGTCCTTTGTCTGTTGGACTGTCACTGGAGAGGAAGAGAAAGACGGAATTTAAAAGAGAAAATTATCAAAAGGTTTTATCAGTATACCGTGAATCAACAATCTCTCCAAAAATATAAAAAGTATGCATGACAAAGTACAATGCTCAGTAAGTTTCAAACTGTCGATCTCAGTATAAAAAGAGATCTGTTTAAAAAAAATTCAACATAAAAATATAATGAAACATTAAGCATCTTCCTCTCTTTTACTTTTTTTTTTCAAAACTCGATATCCACAACTTCAAATCATCTTATTTATCATTTGTCTACAAACGGTGCTATGAAACTTCATCACAGGTACTAGAAAGTTATAAAACAACAACAACAAAAAAAAGTATTCATCTGACCAACCTTCTGTGGTCCCTCATCTTCTTATATGCTAGCTTAATCCACAGCTGAGTATCATGAGGGGTCTCCAACACAGCCGACTCCATGTCCTGGATGTCATGACTGCTCAGCATGAAATAGCGTATGTCCTGCTCACTTATTATGTCATCTGTGTCCACTGGCGACACTGAACTGTGAAGATCTGGAACAAATACAGATATAGTTCACAAGAAATGCAATCTTTATTTTTCTTTGTGCTTTTTTTTAAATATGTAATTCTGTCTCAAGTATTCTTTGACCTGCAAAAGAAAAAAATCATTAACATTTACATAACACATGATTATCAGAACAATACTTTAAAAATACATAAGTAGTGCATACTTACCCATTAATACTTTAGTTTCCTTTGGTTTTAATTCTTGGGACGGTGGAGTTCTGCAAATTGCAGTGGGCTTCCACTTCCTAGGCTCAGTGAATACAGTACAAGGGGGAGCTGTGAAATAGGAATAATGTATTTGTTTTGATGCTAAAATGCCTCTCTGAGAACTAAAAGAAGTAAATACACAGTTGTTAACGAAATACATAAAATTATTCAGCTATTAGCACTTACAATGCCCTGTCTTTTCATTGACTTTGTCAACCAATAAAAGGCACATTTCTTCTTGATTCATCTTGCTTTCATGTTGCTTCTTGAAGTTATCAACCCAAGAACCTGGAACATATATACAGTATTTAAATATGTAACATATACAGGCATTTCCTCATAACAGAGAACAACATACATATGAACAAAACATTTTCATCCAAATGTTTTTCACAGTCATAACTGCTAGATAATCCAAAGAAGGACAAAGAATTATTAAATTAATTTTGTCTTGTGAACAACAGGGTGCTAATTGCTAATGGTGGTCAACTTACTGATAATTCTCTCACACTCCTCTGCTGATGCATTATCAGCTACCCCAGCTACAGATGGGCAATAGGATATAATGTCTATCAGCTGTTCACTTGCTGTCATAACATGGTCACTTTCATGCTGCCTGGAAAATTGGAAAATAAACAAGGAAAATGGTGGAGAATTTCCATTTTTACAAACTGATGGAAAATGGTGGAGAATTTCCATTTTTACAAACTGATTCCTTGAACAAAAGGTAGTGGCTTTTAAAACCAGGAATATCTATTTCTGTAAAAGAGAGACTTTTAAAACCAGGGGTATATATATATATTTCTTACCATGGCATATTTCTGATAAATGAATATACTATGCTTATAGGTAATCATACTATAATCAATTAATAGTCGTCTTACCATGGACATTCCTCATTGCACGTTCCCTTTAGATCAAACCTACACAGTGCCTTCTTTGGCTCTAGCTTGTGGGCAAATGTGGCAGTTGTCAAGCAGTGACCACTCTTTTGACGAAAATATGGACTGAACCTTGGGAAAATAAAAACAAGGATAAAAATTTCTAGCCTCAGACAAAAATCCTTGGACGGAGAGAGAGAGGAACTGAAATGGAATCATAAGACCATAATTTATAACAAGATGATAAATGTGGGTAAACTGAACTCACCTGTAAGATCTAAAGTTCAGCAGTGGACTGCAGTACTGATTACATTGACTAGAGAAAATATCGCATACAGAATCAGTGCTTTTCTCCATTTCAAATGACAATCCCGGAATCTGAATCAGAAAACAGATACTAAGAATAACTACCAGGTAAACTGTATGCAATTTTAAATCAAATTGTAGATACACACATTAAACAGAATGTTAAATAAAACTTTACTTAGTAACTTTGAATATGCAAAAAAACAAAGAGAACCCTTCATGTCCCTTTTGACCTCCTAGTTATATTTGCTGAATAAGTTTTAAAAATTTTTTCAAAAATACAAATCCATTATAACTTGAAATACCATATCCATTATCATATCCACCATGATAAGAAAATTTACAGAGAAATTCACTCTCAATGCTATTGTCACAGACCTCTTGCAACCTTGACCAAAAACCTTCTGTAAGATCATAGTGTATGTTCTTGGTGGAAAATTCATCAACAGCGAACTTATCTACTTTCTCCTTCTGTAAGCAAAGAAAACATTAAATTTAGAAATTCAGAAAATCAACTACTCATTTAAAAAAAACTTACAAAGGCAATAGTTGTTCATACTCATTAAGAGTAATTAGTTTGGTAATCTCTCACAGAAGAGGCATTATCCCCGATTTCAAATCAAATGTGCATGCTCACAAATGAAAGCCCTGTTTTCACATAACATTCTTAACATATTCAACTTTTGATAATATAAGAATATATTACTTTTGGCAATTTTCACCCAACTTGTCTCACCTGTAATCTACACAAATTCTCCAGCTGGCTGCCAGTTGGCATTGTAAACTGTGATTGTCCCTCTGTTCTATCTGCCACTTTCTGCTGCACATTGGTATTAGTTGAGATTTTAGCTGCAGATCCAGAACTAATCTCATTATCATTGTCATTACCAACTGGTTTTGATGTAGCAACAGAACCCACACCTTGCTCTAAATTTGTTAATTCAAGATTTGGCTTCATGCTGATATTCAAATCCAAGAAAGATTTCCTCCTGATTTTAGGTTGTAAATCATTTGCAGGCTTTTCTTTTTCCTGGCCGACAGTCAACTTTTCAATATTTTCTAAATTTGGCTGAGCAATGGGTTTAGTTCTTGCTCTTCTTGTGTTGAACTTGATCCTGTGTTCTTTAGTCCTTTTGTCTTGCTCTTTTGATTTTACAGAGTTCTCTAAATGAGTCCTCTTAAGCATTTCAATTTTTATTCTGTATTCTTGCTCTAATCGCTGAAGTTGCTCTTTGGTCAATTTTTGTTTCCCTCTGTTGTCCATTTTCCTTTCTGAATGTTCTGTTGTTATCACAGTTTCCTTTGCAATTGCTTGCTCTGTTGCCACTGTCTTTGGTTTCTTTACTGTTTGCACGTCTATTGAATTGGCCTTCCTTTTTACAGAATTTACAGCAATATTGTCTGTAATTGTGTTTTTCTTTAAAATTGCCTCTAAATCCGCTGCTTCTTTTTCTGTTTCGTTTAAGATAGCACTTCTTCTTTTTATTCTGGTTTGTATTAAATTGGACTGAAAATAACAGATGATAGTGTTTTACTAACATAAATACAAATAAGCACTAGGTTTGCTCTCCCTACATTTTCTTTCCATTTTCCAGAATAAAAATCAAATCTAAGTGGATTTGAAATTCTTTGGCTTAGAAGAATGGCTATTTTAAGTTTTAATACAAAGAGACACCAACCTGCTTGTTAAGTTTTTCGATGTTGTTACGATGAGTTATTGCAATCTTCTCAGCAGCTGCCAGCTGCTCTTGAAGTTTCTGAATCTTTTCCTCTGCAGTTTGTAGGGCAACTGTACGTTTATCCAAATGCACTTGGATTGTCTTCAGTGTTTGTTTATCTTTAGTTATACCTTGCCTATAAAATAATGTTATAATACATGAAGGACAATCAAAAAAGAATTTTTTGTCATATTCCTAAAGCATACAATGTTTGTCGTCTTCAAATAACAACTAAATGATAACATAACAGTGCATGGGCTTGAAGAACAACATTTTGATGTAGCACTAAAATGAAACATTGTACCTACTGCAAGGATACAATGCCACTTTATAGTGCCATGTTAACTTTTAGTACCACCGTGCTTTTAAATCAATCTCAATTTTATGATACACAGGGTTTTGGAAAACACAGCCACTTTTAAATATGCAATTTGGTTTATTATTTTTGTTTAAAAATACACTTCTAATTATTGCATTCATGCTCACCTCTGTATTACTATCTTCTCAGAGCATTTTTGGTATTTCACTTCCAGTCCTTCTAATTCATCAGATCTAACACTGGCTTCTCTTGCCTCGGGATTAGCAACACCATCTAGTGTTGGAACAGCTTTCACAGAAACTGCATCAGTTTGTGACACCTCTAATTTTTTGACATTTTGTTTTGCAGCACCATCATTAGAAGCTTTGGAAATTCCTGATTCTTGGTTTAACTTGGAGGTTTGTGAAAGTTTCTCTTTTTCTTTTTTAATCAGCTTTTCCTTTAGTTCCTTATATTCCCTCTTCTTGTCCTCTGGCATCCCAACCATAGCTTCGGGAGTAGTGGGGCTATGCTTTTGTTGTGCTGCTGGTTTTGGAGTCTGCAATAAACGAATAATGAGAAATATCATTTATTTGATTTTCTGCTAACCTGTTGGCATGGCAAGCATCAGTTGCCCACTGCCAAAGAAAAATTGAAGCACTGTACAAAAAGAACACTTCCATCATCAATATAACAAAGGACATCTGTTTATAAAATGTCTCAAAAGTATTTCATTTAGTTCATTTTTTTCAAAGTGCTTGCCTCTACGGATTGTCTTGCTTGTTTGAGGAAGAAATCCAGGCCTCCCAGCAGGTTTGTAGCTCCCTTGTCTTCATGCTCACTATCACTGGAGTCTCCGCCCAAGTTGATCACTAAAGGCTAAAATAAAAGTAAACCATAGTAGAATATGTATCTGACATCTGTTTCAACTGTTGATGTATTGTAACCAATCTCTGTATCAACATTTACATCATTTCAGAAGTTTCTGTACGTGCTGGTCATGCATGACAAGCTCTGGTAGTTCACCACAGCTTCTTTTTTTTCTACGCATATTCAACTCAAAACAATCAAATGTTAACAGCTGAACATTTTGATGTTAAAAGTAACACAAGCAACATTTCATACTTTCACTTTAGCTCATGCTTTCTAACTCCACCTTGATCAAGAGTTTCATTTTCATCTTGCTCCAGTTTGACATACTTCATTACATTTGCTTAACATACAAAACTGTATTGTTACCTTATGCATGACGCGCTTTGGCCTGGGTGGGTACTTAGGTTTGTGGAGAACTGGTACAGGGGACTCATTTCTGCTGCTGGGTTCTGACATTTGCTACAACAGAAATATATTTGCAATATCAATAATACTTATGTTAATCACAGGCGAATATCAAAAAATACAAATCACAGATTAGCGAATACAAAACTGATACAAAGTGTTTATAGTAAAGAGTTGACTTCATTTTTACAAACATGTCTACCAGCATCCACACACCTCTGGCTCTGGCCTGTCCACTTGTTTCCTCTTATTTATAATACCCTGTAACAACATTGCTCTGAGTTCTGCCTCCTCTTCATCTTCTTCTGGGTCCTCCTCAGGCAGAGGGGGTGGTTCCTCAGGTGGTGGGGGCGGTGGAGGGGGATAAACTGTACCAGCACCTCCTGATGGTAGCGGAGCTTCCATCTGAATCAAATCAAGTTAATATAGTTGTTTCCAGTATTCTATGAGGGTGCTGGTAACTGTGTGCTACATATTCAGAGTTTGCTGAGTAGATATGATATATTTTGCGAGAACACAAAAATTTAATTTAAAAAATGTACATAGTAGAAGCTGGGGTAGCGCTAACACTCGCCAATTTAGCCAAATGCTAAAACTTACTTAAATTGGCTAAACAAAAAGGGCTTGATTTGACTCATTTTAGTCAAATTAACACCATTTGGATAACAAATTGACAAAAAAGTGATAATTTGGCTAAGTGAAAAAAATTGCTAGCGCTACCCCAGAGAAGAATACCTACCGGTAGGTACAAATCTTCAAAACCAAATTGAGGACCCAAATCTTCGGTAAAAATGGCTAAAGATGAAAAGAAACTTAAAAACATATTAGATGCTTCCGTTAAATTAAACTTTTTAAAATTCAAAACAACTCTTTCACCAAAATCCACTAAATTAAATATTATCTGCAGTTTATATCTATCACAAAATACGTTGTAGTCTATATCCATCACAAAATATGTTATAGCAAAGGAATGTGCCAACTTCCAAGGACTTTTTAAGAAGTACCTGGCGAGCCTTCATTACTGTCTATTTCCATTTCCACCTCTTCATAATTGTCCAGTAGTACTAGAGGAGCATCGTTTTCCGCTTCTCTTGGGTCATGTGACCAATCTCCAGTCCTATCACTGCTCACTCCTTGGTGTCTCGGAGACTGAAACATTACAACTTAGAACTGAGCATTATTCATATAATGGATGTGCACAATACAACAGAGCAAAGCACTTAGTGTCTTTCTGTCCCCAAAAAGTTGTTAAAGCTGAACATAATAACCACAGCCACTCTGAATGAAGACAAAGATCTACGTAATGTTCTCAAATAAGGACAGACAAAACAATTAGTTGTCAAACTTTCACAAACTTAAAGAGCAAAATGAACCAATAGCTCTCAAACTTATAGAGCAAAATGAACCCATAGAAGTTTTAGGAATGAGGCAAACAAACATATTAATACCTTGCTCTGACTCCTGGAGTTACCACTTGTTGTTGTGTTCCTGTCATTTGCAACCATCTTCATGAATCTTCTGTACTGCTCCTCTGGGTCATCAATTGACAGGACCGAGGCAATCAAACGAGGGCGTTCTGATTGGTCATCAAATCTATGCTCTCCTCTTTCTCTTTGCCTCTCCCATTCTTTTTGTCTTTCTCGTTCAGATGACCTGCGCGTTGGTCTTTTTGTTCTCTCCAAGGACTGTCTGGCATATCGTCGAGAGGGACCTTTAGCAAGATAAGATATGTCAAAAATATTCCATATTTCATCTGCTTGTTATTTCATATTATAATTGGACCACCTTTTATCAACATTGAATTCAGCCTTCTTGGAGGAACTACAAGAGAATCTACAAATGAACAGACAAAAAGATCTTCTTTCTCCTGATTACTGACAGGTTATATGTACAATTCAAAACATGCAAAATCAACTATGCAACAGCCATGAATTTGAATGCAAGACCAAAATTCTAGAAACACTTATGTCAATGATATTTACCTCTTCTGTTACTTTGTTTTCTATGCACATCCTGTCTTCTGTAAGGTTCAGGTTTTCTAAGTGCTTCTTGCCTCCCCCTCCTTGGCTGCTTTTGGTCTTGAGATTTCTGTGGTTCATCTTCTGCTTTCTTTTGGAGAACAGGCTTTTTATCTAAATTTTTGGCTGCTGATGCTAGTGCAAGTAGTCTTAATTCAAGCTCATCAACATCTTCCTCTTCAGACTTTAGCTGAAAATAGACAATTTGAAAATATTTGCAATTCATAGTTTTCAATTCCAATTCCAGGATATATAAAACTTATCAGTGTTCACATTAAAAAAAAAAAAAGGCATTCCTTTCCACAATGTTTAAAATAATACACTTTTATCTCAACCTGTTCAGTGCCATATATTACCCTATGAAGATGCTCCTTTTTCCCTCCCCCATAACAATACAAGCAGTGAAACTGGACAAAACCCAAGCAATTTTTCCATTCTTGTGCCCTACATTTTACAGCAAAATTGTCCTGGTGTACCGTTCTACATTTGCCCAGCCCAATTAGGCAATTTTTTTTTCAACCTTTACTTGATTCACCAGTAACTGTGTCACCCAGTACTGCCTTACACATGTTCATACTACCTTGGCTCCAGGGTCTGGAGTTTGGTCTTCACTCCCTGGTTGCCCATTTTCAGTATGTGCAGTAGACGTAACTGTGTCTGCAAATTAAAAATTCACTCCTGTATCATTCATATTATGTTAACTATTAAATTTAAAAGCCACTTAAATGTACAAGTAACAAATCAAAATGTTGACCCTGAACATCTGACAAAACCGTCCTACTTAATCTACCATAACACCACATTATGTTCAAACTGGTTAAAATTGATCTTACCAAGTTCATCTATTTCTCTCTTTTTTGATCCTGTATCTTCTCCACCAAGCAATTTTGATGCCTGCTCATCTTCCTTCCTTAATACATCCAGTTGTTTTTGAACCAATTTATACCTCAGAAGCAGTTCATTATAATCTCCATCACTTTTATCTATGGGTTTATCTCCAGATGTTGGTCTTGGTTTGGATTGACGCCCATTACTACGATGCCTTTCTCTAACAGCTGTGACAGTTGAGGAATAATCACAAAAATGTCTGGTGATAATTACAAACTCACGTTTCTCATGCCAGAAAAACTAAGTAGGAAAGCTGACAACTATACAGACATTTAATAGAGAAGTTATTATACGAGCGTAATTGCTCCAATTTAATGTCAACCAGAAGATTCCAATAGCAATCTTTGGTAAAAATAATCTGATCGGAATAATGATGGTTTTTGAAAATATTTAACAAATGAAGACACTGAAGCAAATTTTTAATTTAGGCATCAGCAGTCATGTCAAATTTTAAGTAAAATAAACATATCTTTGGCACTTGAGGGATAAACATTGCCATAATGCATGCAAAAAAAGGCAAAAAAAAAAAATTACCTAATGATGCCAATTTTTTAAAAAGTTACCTTCGTTTTTATCAAACAATTCTACTCAGTAAAATGTGAAAGAAAAAAAAACAGTTAAGCAGTTATAGGGTGAACAACAGACCAAACACAGAACACAGATAAATCAGAATATAGATAGCCACTACTGTACCAAATGTGTTGTACATGGAATGAAGCCTCAATTTAACTTTGTCAAAACAAGTGTGCCATACATTAAAAGAGACAACTTAAGTTAATCTGTGTTCCATTAGAACCCTTCAGACTTTGACACTTGCGTGGTTAAACAGAATATCATACCCTGACAATGCCTTGGAGATTTAAAGGTTAAAAACATATTTATATTATTGTAACATTTAAATCTTTCAACACCAATGGATTCCAAAGAGTAGGCTTCGTATAAGATTACATTCTTAACACAATGTTATGTCGAATTAATAATTTAATGTTACAGAAAAAATTCTCCAAACTATCATACTCGTTGCAAAAAGCACCCCAATAATGTCTTCATTAAAAGATACGCCTATTGGTGTCTCTTGAACCAGAATTTCTCCTCCAGTCTTGAGCTGCTGCCATGGGGTCTCTCTCCATTCCCCAGGGGTGGTACCTTGGCGGGGATGAATAGTGAGGGGGGCGGTGGGGTATGCGGGAGGGGGGCTGATGATGGGGTTCATTGTGATGATTAATGGGACCATGAAATGTTGGGGATAGTGACCTACTCACAGGGGGTCTGGCCCAGAAATGGCTGGACGGAGATGGAAGCGAGGGAGGGGATACTGGCCTTCGAGATTGTTGACGGGGAGTTGTTTTAGAGTTTTTTCCATGACGGTATTTTTCAAGTATTCTGCTGCTGGCCTGCCTGGTTCTCGACCTCGTAGGCGTTCGTTTATTCACCAGGTCTAAGCCTGGGATATCTACGGCGTCTTCGGGTCTGTTCACTAGGTCAAGTCCTGGAATGTTCACTTCTTGATTTGGGTCATCTTTTGCTTCGCCCTCTTCTTCAGAATCTCCTTTTATTTCTCCATCGTCTGATAATTCTCCTTCCTCGCGCCCACTTACATCTTCTTCCACTTCCATATATCCCTCTTTTTCTTTATAATTTATCATATAATAGCATTTTTTAATTTCTTCAATACTGCTCCTAGAAGAAGATGGCGACCTCATGCGCTGTTTAACACCGCCAGGCGGCTTACAAGAGACGCTAAGTATGTTCGTATCTCGATTAACGTTAATTCTGTTAGTATAATGAGTATCCACCAAATATAAGTTACATGAAAATTGCACATCCCATTTTGCAAGTACAAAGTTATTTGAGAATCAGTATCAAACCCATATCGAACCACTTATCAAACCAAGAAACCTACCAAGGCTTTTCATGGGCTAATATGGCGCTACCCAGCACAAGACGTGGATTCCGAACTGCAATGCGTTTATCGAAGCAATGCAGCTTGACTCATTTATCAACTGCTAAGAGAACGTATGCGGAGACAAAGATTAAAAAGAAGCCAAAGGTATGAAATGTCTCTTGGCCGTGTTGCTTTGTCAAACCCCTCTCTTCACTCGCGCTCTCCCCCCCCCCCCCAATTCTCTCTCTCTCTCTCTCTCTCTCTCGTATATATGAATCATTTTTGAAAAACAGTTAGAGAACATCTTAGATCAGATCTGATAATGTTGTCACATGTTCACTTGAACATATGTCATAAACTGAAAACGTTTTAGGTTAGATCTATACTCACATTTTATTTCCCCCTATTTTTTTTTTAACTTTTCATGCTTTTGAAAACTGGGGGGGGGGGGGGGGACAAAAACGCTACATGATTTGGTAAGTTAGTACTTGGACAGCTGTGTCTTTTCTGTAGTACCCAGTTTAATCTCTGGTTGCCTTCATCATTCATCGATTGGTTTTTACATTCTTTTTTCAGGGTATATTTGCCAAATGCCCTCCAACAGTGTTCTCTGGTATCCAGCCAACTGGGATTCCTCACATTGGGAATTATCTTGGTGCAATAAAAAACTGGGTTCACATGCAGAATACACACCAAAGAGTGTTATTTTGTATTGTAGATTTGCATTCAGTAACACTGCCACAGAATCCCAATGCATTGAGGTAGATGCATTACAAATGTATTTAACATATACTGTAATTCCATGCATGTCGATAAACTATTCTTTTTATCAAACAATTTAAAATGACTTGTAGGGCACAACTTCATAGCATTATTATTAATATATGTAATTTTTTTTAAACCCTTAAGCTTTATTGTCATGCTGGCAGGTTTTTGGATTTTATGTACATTGTGATATGCAGGGGTGGATTTAGGCCGTCTTCTGGGTCTTCTGGAAGACGGTCAAAATTTTAAGATAACATTGACGGGTATCTAATTTTTTCTGTCGGAAGACGGTCAAAAATGGAAGATGGATCAACTAAGTTAATTTGGAAGACTGTCAGAAAATATCTCTGGATCCGCCCCTGATATGAAAATAAACTTTAGAAGCCTTTTAGTTCTACTGTCATGCTATGTCTATGGCTAAAAAATTATTCATATTATTTTTAATCTTTAGGCAGAGTATTTTTGATACTGCGGCCTGTTTGTTGGCATGTGGAATTGATCCTGACAAGGCCATTCTATTCCAACAGTCAGATGTAAGTGTAAATGGAAATTGTAAATTAATTATAAAAAAGAAGTTACAGATTTTGAAACTGATTCTGATGAAGATTGTACTGTCAATATTGACTGCTTTTACAAAAATAACTGATATGATGCATTTTGTATTAGAGGAGTTGTTTTGAAGCTATATAGGTTAAGTTACATAAGTCTGTCATCTCACCTAATTTCTTTATCTGAATACTGACATAAAAATATTTTTTAAAAATTTATTTCAACTATGCCATCCTGGCATATTTGCACATCAGTAGCAGTTTATTATAGGTGCCACAACATTCAGAGCTATGCTGGGCTTTTACTTGTTTGACAACTTTGCCAAGAATACAGTCTCTCCCACAGTGGAAGGTGAGATTTTTAATATTCCAAATTTTTGTCGGGGATGAAACTTCTAATTCTGTAAGGTTAAACCTTTGTTTTTGTTAGGTGTCATGGCACATTGTCAGAGGTCTTATTTGGTTTCATGGTTGAGAATATTTTACTAATTTAGTAATTTTTTATTCATTTTTTCCAAGTTTTTAAACATTATCAATCTATTTTTGCAGGAAAAGTCAGAAAAATATGCTAAAGATATTAATGTTGGTCTTATGACATATCCAATCCTACAGGCAGCAGATATACTTCTTTATAAGTAAGAAATGGGTTAACATCAGTTATATGATTCTACACTTTTATTCGACATATGTAGTATTATGATTGTTGAACAGATTGCCTTTTTGTTAACTTAATATCATTATGGTGCATCAGTGAGAGACTTTGAAACAATTTTTCTAAACCTAAAAAGTTATTTTTAAATACTCTACTATGTATTCTGCTCAATGAAACATTTAATCCATGTTGGGGCCATTCAGAATGGATGATCTGATTACTAACTGATCCACCAACTAAATACAGCCGACTCCACATCAAAAACGATGCTGCTAATTCCATAATGGTCTCCCTGCCTCCACATGCGCCATCGCTGCAGGGGCCTTGAAATTAAACCTTGGAGCCAAGACTTAATTCGTTTAAAGGCGTGTGAGGAGGCAGGGAGGCCATCGGGAATCAGCAGCATCGCTGTTGAAGTGTGGTCTGCCATATTTAGTTGGCGGATCATTTAGTACTCTGAACATTTATTCTGAATGGCCCCATCATCTCATTTATATGAACCAGGCAGTTACATATGGTTATAATTGTATGTTTTCACTATTGTTTCAGAGGAACAGAGGTGCCAGTTGGTGAAGACCAGATACCACATGTAGAATTGGCACAAGATTTAGCAAGAATATTTAACTATCGTTTTGGAGAATTTTTTCCAAAGGCATCAGCAGTCATTCCAAGTAATAGCAAAATAAATTATTTTCAAAATTCTTGGTGTATAACCTTAAATCCAATTGCTGAATATGAAAACGCTGCATGGTTGTCAATTTATATTATGTAAAAATGCATGTCAAAATGTTTAAGATAGATTTTTAAAATTAATAAAAACAAATATCTTAAGATAGGTCAGTTAAAATTTTTGCATGTTATTTTTGCTTTGGCTCATATGAATATGACACTGAATTCTCTTTTTATTTTATTTTTTTCTAAAAGAATCTGCAAGGATCAAGAGTTTACGAACACCCACCAGCAAGATGAGCAAATCTGAAATTGATGTTAAAAGTCGCATTGACCTCACAGACTCTCCTGAAGTCATTAGGGGCAAGATTAAGAAAGCTGTCACAGACTTCACCCCAGAAATATTCTATGATCCAGATAATAGACCTGGAATTTCTAATTTAATGGACATTCATGCTGCATTCACAGGCCTCTCCAGTGATGAGATAACAGAACAGAACAAGCTCAAAAATACTGTGGGATATAAATCTGAAGTTGCAGATATTGTGACTCAGTATTTAACCCCTATAAGGGAAAAAGTACTAAGACTTAGGGAGCAGCCTGAATATGTACAACAAATACTGGATAGAGGTGCAGAGAGAGCTGGTGATATAGCTCAGGAGAACTGGATGCAAATTAGAAAGCTAATGGGGTTCAAATGATTAACTGTTTTACTTTGAATATGTCGTATGTTTGAATCTGCCATTGGCTTTGCTCATTTTTATAAGGGAAAAATAAAACTGTCTTTGGTAAAAACATTTAACTGAAATGCAATTTTATTGTTTACCCTTACAAAAAGCAAAAACTAGTTAATTTTACAGCACCTGAAATTTGGAGACCAAAAAATATAAGCTCCATTTTCCCAAAACATGACACACACTTGGTTGAAGTATGTTTTACTTCTGTCTCATCCTTGAAACATTGTCTTCATAAGGTCAATCATATTGTAGCAGTCAGTTATCATTGGTGGCATTTCTTCTCCACAGAATCTCATGTCCAGATATTTCTCCACATTTTCAAGGTTGTCAACCAATTTTGCACTTTTCTCCTGGGAGTCGTCCATTTTTTCTATATCCAAAAGTTCTAGCACTTGCATTTGAAAATGAACTTGGTCTGTGGGTTCTAATTCTTCCATGGCTGCCATACACTTTTGTAAGAATTCTACCAATAACTGGGGATCAGATGATGATTTATCACCTTTGCTGTCATCTTTTTTATCATTTGGAATTTTGCCAGCCTTTTTAGTATTCATTGCAACATTACTTCCTTTTTTAGATGTTTTGCCAGACTTGGACTGAACTGATGTTTTGGCTTTGTTTTTCTCTTCGGTTTTAGCTATGGTTATTCTGGCCTCTAGATTTGCAGCTTGCTTCAGTTTAATTATTTCCATGGCTTCATCTCCAAGCAACAAAGTTCTGATCTCCATGTTTGTAGCCAAGTCCCCAGCCCTGTGACCATCCTGGAATATTTGATCAGAAGAAATGTCAGTTATTACCATAAAAACTAATTATCAATGACAGCCATAGGAATTTTAGCACGTTATTTGAGCAATTTTTTTTTTTTTTTTTTTTTGCAAAAGGAGACTTCTAGAACCCCCCCAATTGACTTATTTCTTAGTAAACCAGAGTAACATACATTGTCAGTTATTTCAATGTCACATCCTGCTGAGAGCAAGGCTGTCACCACATCCAAGTGGCTGTTGATAGCTGCATAATGTATGGCTGTCCAGCCAAACTGAAAACACAAAAAATGTTCTTTAAAGAATGTGTGTCACAGTTAAGTACCATGTCTTCATAATTTTCATCCTCTGTTGTACAACTGATTAATTTCACTTAAAGCATATTAATAGGTAAAAAGAACCTTACATTACTTACCGAGCACTGTATATTTGTGTTGCACCGCTGGGACAAGTGTTTTAGCAACTTCTGGGTGGTTGTATTTGCTGGCCATGTGCAAAGCAGTAAATCCATCCTGCAATGTGTTTTAAAACATTGACACTGCCTTTGTTGTAAAGAAAATAATGTCGAGCCACATTTTGAAAAAAAAAATGAAAAATTCATCTGACAAAATTTAGCATTATTTCACTCACTAAAATATATATTTATATAACATAAGCACGATGTTCAAAAACATCTTGACACTGACGTTACAGTGCTAGCTTTTAACCACTTTAATTTGAGATCCCATTTACATTCACGCACCTGGGGGTTCCCCAAAGGGAATCCCACAAATGACGTCACCCCTATAAATCTAAATAGTAAATAGGTCAAATCAGAGAGAGGCCGGTCACACAGCTTTTGCAGACTTCCATGCTGCAGACGGACGTTTGACGGACGTTAAAACTGAGAAGGCAGGTAATCCCTTGTTGTTGGAGGACAGGGAGATATGGAGACGGAAGACTATGTCTGCACAGGGTCCTTTATTTTCACATTCTTTGTTGCGATTGTGTCAGGAAGACGAGCATGGATGCTGATAGACATGATTTCAACGATCGTCTTTGGAGTGTGGTTTTTCTTCCCAAAGAGCATTTTGCCTTTGCAGGTAAGTTTTGTACTTCGGGGAAATTACCAATAACTTCAGCTATCATTTATACTGGTATGTTACAAATTATTCTGCCCAGATGAAAAGAATAAATGAAGAATTATGTGTACTGCAGTACATATGCAGACAATGTTTTGCATGTTAATAAATGTTCTGTATTGATAACTTGATGATACAGTACATACCGGGTATGTACTGTTATTATTATTATTATTTTTTTTTTAATTTTTAAAAATTTTTTAGCCAGACACAGCGAAGGAAAAAGTGTATTCATTTTATATAAAACATGTTATTCACCTTCCAATTTTTACCTTTTTTTTTCTTTTTTTCTTTTTTACTTAGGCAGATCTTGTTATAGACTCTGGTCATGTTTTACTTTGCCACATGGTAGCTGCAACACTCCTTGGATCTGCAGTGGTGTGGGCATTGAGTAGAAACTCCAGTGATGAGACGGTGCAAGTAACTATGCTTATCACCAGGGTATTGGTAAGTATCATTATACTCTGTAGGGATATAAAAATGTCTGCTCTTTTCAAGTGTCAGTCTCACACCCACCCACAGATGAAGAATTACCTGGTTTTACTCGCCAAGTATTAAACTGTAAATTAGGACAGTTTAACTGTAATATAAACAGGAATGTGAAAATTGTTTTCTCTTATTTAACTTCTTATGTCTTTTGTTTATTGATTTTTTAGTGGGGGAGGGGGAGAAGAGGGGTGTCTCAGAAGCTAAGGAGGGGGCACTTGCCTGCTTCCTCTGCCTAGATCTGCCATTGTCTGTTGGAAACTGATCTCTCAGAAGTCAGCATTATGATGCTGCTCCCCAAAGCCAGTCCTGAATTTTCATTAAACTGTTACTCAAGGTTATGCTAACATCACAGGTACAGCGTAAAATGTGCAACAATGAAACAAATGCAACATTATCAGGCTATGATAGTTATTTTTATAAAACTTTAATGTAGTCATTAATTGCAATATAAAACTTAATGTTGATCTTTTTCAGAGTGCCTCTCTTATACTGATCTACATGATATATGCCCAATATGCCAATGCTCAAGCCAAACATGGAAGGTTTACCCAACAGGTATGATGCTTAGATAATGGTGTGACTGAGTATTAGCCAGATTTGTTTGGGAGATGTAGAAATGTATAAACATTATGTACAAGAAAGTGGACAGAAAAATTCAGATTGAAATAAATACAATACCATAGTTATTAAGTGATGTGTGTGTTCGTACTTGCATAATCATGTGTGTGAAACTTATGAGTACATATTACCATGATCTTAATCAACAGCTTGGACATGGCTATAAATTTTTACCCAAGGTAAAATCCATGCAATGGTAACATTAAACCTGCACGTGCAGTAAGCTAATTTTTCTCTTGGGATTCACAGATCTTGAATGCAATAGCACCCAGTTTGTTTTGGCACTTAAACAGAAATGTCACTCATGGAGAAATGGTTTTTCGTTAGAGAGCACTAAAATGTTTCTTCTGTATAACAGTCTGTAGAAAAGCTTTCAGTTTCAAACTGAATGCATATTTCATGTTTTTGCTATGGTGGTAAACATGTCTTACTATCTGCAGTTTCTGCTGTCTGAATGATTCATATGCTGTGATGTTAGGTTTGGCTGCTGCCTGAATGATTCATATGCTGTGATATGTTGTTTTGGTGTTAAGTTGTTCTGCTGACTACCCACACTAATTTCCTACAGCCTCGGATTTCTCCCACAGATACTGGTAGCAGTTTACAGTCACTTTTAACAACTGTCTATGTGTGGTTACATGCACACACATGACTGCTCTATACAAGATAGGTATATCAGGCTGATGTTCTTAAGCTAATTGGGCAGTCAACAAAGTCAGGAATAAATGATGGGTGATTAGATTTATTTAATGTCATTTACTAGGCATGAACAGCTGAGTGAACCATTAGAATTCATCTTGTCATATTATAGTCAGTTGTTTTTACTCTCTTATTTCTATCTGCTTGATAGACAAAAGACATAATTGACATATGCTGAAATGTGAGGCAGAATCAATTGAAAGTACCCAGAGTTTTAGAGAGTACTGAGAACTCACCTCTCTACTATCTAATGTGAGACAGCAGAGGTGTACTGATAGTAGAAAGGTGATTTTCAAGTGCCCTTTGAAACTCCGGGCGAAAGAGAGAAAATTGGGCTGCAGAGAGAGTGAGTGAACTGATACTGCCAGATTTGTTAGGTGAAATTGTTAGATTTTAAGATAAATGTAAGGGAAGAATGCTAATTTTTATTATTTTCATTTTCCATTATTTTCAATTATTTTTAAATTTCATTGCAGAATTATTGGTTTGGCATACTGGGAACAACACTATGGGACCTTGGAAACATCATCCAGCTTCTGAGAACAGTGGAGTGGGGAGGAGGGGCAGAGAATACCTCGTCAGGGTTGGACCACAGCCTAAGGAGGGACTTTTTTGTTATCTTCATCGGGGGAGTTGTAATGGCTACATTTGCTGGGAGTACAGTCCAGTGTTTAGTAAGCATTCCTTCCATATTTTTAGTCTTGCATTAACATTATGTATAAAAAAAAGTACTATTGTAGCCTCTATCTGTGGACAAATGCCCCAGCTGGTGCTTATAAAGCTTGGTTGTCTTCAAAAATTCATTATGGACACAAGTGCTCATTGCTTTGCTTTGTTTGTGACATGATTTATTACCTGCAGATTTCTCAGTTTCTGTCCATATTTTGAGAGAGTTTTGAGAGATTTCAAAATTGCAGTAATATTATGCATCTTACGCTGTGACAGCATTCTGATCTTCACATCATTAAAAAATAGAAATATCCATGAATAAAATGACCATGTCATGTTATCTGTATTTAAGTCAATTATTGATGCAAAACAGCCAGCTGTCACATTCACAAAGGCTAGACATATCAGATGGACAAAGGGATATAAAGATGATGTTGATTGTGTAAGATGTGACAAGTGAATGTACTATTAGGTATGACAGATGTTTTAGATGTGACAAATACAAATACTTCAAATTAATTTTTTGTTCTTTTTATTTCAGTTTCCACATCTCATTCTTGACGGTATACATTCTCATATGGACCGCACTGTTGGTGCTCTGAATATTGGAATGGCCTTCCTGTCCTTCATAGCACCAGGCTTCCACTCAGATGAGGATAAAAGAGCTGTATTACTGGGCAGGATTGTGGTGAGTATGTTCCAGGCATCTTAAGTACCCTGAAAACACTGTACTTGCCTATGTGGCATGTATGCTGTAATAGTTTTGGCAAAAGAGCAGGTTATTTGAAATATTACTAGATATGGATTTTATCTCTCAATTTATAGAGTTTTAACTAACTAGATGTTAATAATATTAAAAAATGGCTTTTGTATGCTCAAATTCTATGTATTGCTGTGTAGCAAGTTGAAACAATTATATGCATGTAACATTTGTCATTTGTTCCAGCAATGTATCATGCTTTTGGCCAGTGTTGCATGGCAGCATTTTTATATCATCTCCATGACAACCACACAAACATTGACAGTGGGGGCACCACTAGCCCTCCTACCTGCCTCAGTGGATACTTAAGTTCTGGGGAAAGGAAGAAAGAGGATTGAAACATTGCTGGGAGATATTTAATCCATACTTTCAGTTTTTCTTTGTATGAATTGGAATTTAATCAAAATAAGTATGTTGTAAGGTGCAAGACAAAGAATAAGCACAAGAGGGAAATTATCATCTTATTTCATCCCAAGGATATAAGTAGGCAGCTATTGGAAATTCTGATATTCCTCTTTTTTCAATTGAAAATTGTTTAGCCATTAAAAGATAATGTAAAATTTGACNAATTTCATTGCAGAATTATTGGTTTGGCATACTGGGAACAACACTATGGGACCTTGGAAACATCATCCAGCTTCTGAGAACAGTGGAGTGGGGAGGAGGGGCAGAGAATACCTCGTCAGGGTTGGACCACAGCCTAAGGAGGGACTTTTTTGTTATCTTCATCGGGGGAGTTGTAATGGCTACATTTGCTGGGAGTACAGTCCAGTGTTTAGTAAGCATTCCTTCCATATTTTTAGTCTTGCATTAACATTATGTATAAAAAAAAGTACTATTGTAGCCTCTATCTGTGGACAAATGCCCCAGCTGGTGCTTATAAAGCTTGGTTGTCTTCAAAAATTCATTATGGACACAAGTGCTCATTGCTTTGCTTTGTTTGTGACATGATTTATTACCTGCAGATTTCTCAGTTTCTGTCCATATTTTGAGAGAGTTTTGAGAGATTTCAAAATTGCAGTAATATTATGCATCTTACGCTGTGACAGCATTCTGATCTTCACATCATTAAAAAATAGAAATATCCATGAATAAAATGACCATGTCATGTTATCTGTATTTAAGTCAATTATTGATGCAAAACAGCCAGCTGTCACATTCACAAAGGCTAGACATATCAGATGGACAAAGGGATATAAAGATGATGTTGATTGTGTAAGATGTGACAAGTGAATGTACTATTAGGTATGACAGATGTTTTAGATGTGACAAATACAAATACTTCAAATTAATTTTTGTTCTTTTTATTTCAGTTTCCACATCTCATTCTTGACGGTATACATTCTCATATGGACCGCACTGTTGGTGCTCTGAATATTGGAATGGCCTTCCTGTCCTTCATAGCACCAGGCTTCCACTCAGATGAGGATAAAAGAGCTGTATTACTGGGCAGGATTGTGGTGAGTATGTTCCAGGCATCTTAAGTACCCTGAAAACACTGTACTTGCCTATGTGGCATGTATGCTGTAATAGTTTTGGCAAAAGAGCAGGTTATTTGAAATATTACTAGATATGGATTTTATCTCTCAATTTATAGAGTTTTAACTAACTAGATGTTAATAATATTAAAAAATGGCTTTTGTATGCTCAAATTCTATGTATTGCTGTGTAGCAAGTTGAAACAATTATATGCATGTAACATTTGTCATTTGTTCCAGCAATGTATCATGCTTTTGGCCAGTGTTGCATGGCAGCATTTTTATATCATCTCCATGACAACCACACAAACATTGACAGTGGGGGCACCACTAGCCCTCCTACTGCTCAGTGGATACTTAAGTTCTGGGGAAAGGAAGAAAGAGGATTGAAACATTGCTGGGAGATATTTAATCCATACTTTCAGTTTTTCTTTGTATGAATTGGAATTTAATCAAAATAAGTATGTTGTAAGGTGCAAGACAAAGAATAAGCACAAGAGGGAAATTATCATCTTATTTCATCCCAAGGATATAAGTAGGCAGCTATTGGAAATTCTGATATTCCTCTTTTTTCAATTGAAAATTGTTTAGCCATTAAAAGATAATGTAAAATTTGACAAAAACTTTATATGCGGAACAAAAGTATAGAAAATTCACATGGGGCATTTTTATTTTTGCTCAGTAAATTTATAAAACTATTGAAATACCTTGTTTGTAATCTTTTCATGAGACTGACGAGTTTGTTATGACTAGAGATTGGAATTGTAGAAAATGTTTTGAATGCACTAAGACCAACTTTTAAGACCACTGTCTCAGGTTATTTTAACACTAATATCTCTGTTTAACTAAAATACTGTGTGCAATTTTAGTTATTTTGTTTGTCAGTATTAGTTTGTCACATGCTAGAGTTTACTTACTAGGTTAGATTCAAAGAAGTAGGTAAGGTACAAAATAATATTATCAAAGATGCTTTAAAAATATGCTTCAAAGTCGATCGCATTTTTTCTTTAGTTGTTTAAATTGAATGTGCCATAGTGATATAGCATTCATATCTTTGATATTATGCATCACAGCTGACATAAAATGGACTAAAATGTCAGTCTAAAAGTTGAGACCAAATTTCAGGCTTTAGTTCTTTTGTGAAACAGGTCCATGATCTATTTGGCATGTGTGTTCAGTTGTTCTCTAATTAAATAATTTGGTTCATGGACACGTTGCATTCCAAGTGAAAAAGTGGCAACAGCTGTAAACTTTGTAAATTATTATTCTCATCTCATGATTAGCATGAAATTTTCACCAAATGTTGAATATAATTAACATATTTGAAACATTTACATCTCAAGCAGGCATATTTGTTTTGCCTCTTTATTGTTTAAGATTAGTTTGTAAAAAGTAAGTCATTTGTTGAAAACAATAACGCTGTTAGGGTTCTAGTTTTGGTTGGACAAAAATGTATATAATTTTTTTCAAGTGTTGTGCTTCCTTAGTTTTCAGTTTTGAATATAATGTGTTTGGTAGGATCGGATAACATGTTTTGGTATGTCTTCGTTTCTTACTTAAAGTAAGAAGTCTTCCATATCAAGCTTTTATTTTTTCTTGATATGAACATTGGACTTCTGTATTTTTACTGTTCTTTTTGTACACTTAAGATAACGTGAAAGGGATTTTTGTCAACAAGCTTGAAAGGCTTCCTTCTCTAAGGAGCCTTTATTTTAGCCATTTTATATTTTCTGAAATTTAATTTTATATGCATCTTGCAAGAGCAGATTTGTGGCAGCTTTATGATTTTGTAATAAGCATTGGAAAATAAAAAGATCCCTTTCAGAAAGATCGTATTCTGCTTTTTTCCTTACTCACTCAAACAGGAAACACATGGCATTTACAGTTAAATAATCTGTTAGTACCCAGTTAACCTGACATCTGTTTTTAACCCTTTAAATATTACTTCAGCTCATCAGTACGTTTGCTTCCTTATGGAATCTAACAGATGATTCAGTGTAACTTTGACACCAGAAAATTTGTGAGATTCACATTACAAAGAGCTGGGTACTGTTCATATTAAACAATAAAATCTTATCCTTAAGATTTGTTGAAGTCAAAGATGAACAATAATTTAATTGTACCGTTACCGCTTCTCCTCCTAGACAGTAAGGGCCCCCGTACCCATCTCATGGATTTAGGTCACCTATAATCTCAACTCGTTCCATGTAAAATTTGGGCTTTGTCGGTATTGGGGTCTGGGTGTGGCACTCATTACAATGCACCCTTGTCTAAAAATGGCAAAATTAAATCCTAATTATCTACCCTACGGAAGGAGTTATGGGAAAAATTTCTATAGAGGGCTTTCCAAAAGTCATATGTGTAGATTTCAAATATACCCTTGGATTTGACCTTTGACCTTTACTTCAAGGTCAAATGGGTCAAAATTTTCAAAAAAATGAAATTTTTTACGAAAAAAAATTTTTTTGCCCTGTTATTCAGACACTACAGACTTAACCAATAATATTATTGGAAAGTGTTACCCTTCAGGTCATCTTTCATCTCCATAAATTTGGGGTCAATCGGTGCATTTTCACGGGAGTAGCGGCCATAAGATACCGAAACTGAAAACTGTCTCTAATTCGGGAACCGTTAATGCTAGAGACCCATTCTTTTTTGCATTTTGTAGAGCATGTAAAGCCCAACACTGTGGGTGGTCTCGGTTTTTTCGTATTCCATACGGTTTTCGAGTTACGCTGTATCAAAAAGTACATATTGGTGGTAAAAGCAAAATGTGCAGTACGGTAATGGATAATAAATTTTGAACTCTGGAAAAATAAAACATAAGGCTTGGCAAAGCAGACAACTTGTGTTCAAAAATGACATTATTTCATCAAATTTGAACTTCTGAAACTTCAGAGCATCTCCTATTTCAAGAATTTTGACCAAAATGACATTTTCTTTATTT